ACTGAATGACCAGGTTATTCCATCAATGGACTTTTTGTTCCCTGTTGGCACAGGCATATTCCAAGATGACAATGCCAGGATTCATCGGGCTCAAATTGTGAAAGACTGGTTCAGGGAGCATGACACATCATTTTCACACATGGATTGGCCACCACAGAGTCCAGACCTCAACCTTACTGAGAATCTTTTGGATGTGCTAGAGAGGGCTTTGCGCAGCGGTAGACTCTACCATCATCAATGCAAGATCTTGGTGAAAAATTAATGCAACACCGGATGGAAATAAATCTTCTGACATTGCTGAAGCTTATCGAAAGAATGCCACAGCAAATGCGTGCCATAATCAAAGGTAAAGTCGGTCCAGAGTGACTTTTTTTTTTGGCCAGGCAGTGTATAAGGCACTGTACAGAGGATGAAAGTGAATATTATTCAGTGTGTATCCCCCTTGTGTAAACTACCGTATATGGAATACTGTTTAAAATACTAAGAGGAGGTGGGGAATAATGTATAATTGGCATTAAAGCTAAAAAAGTAGAGGTATTTTTAAAGAATAAATTTACTCATGTTTTGTCACAGACAGCGTTGTCCTAACTTTAAATAAAAACAAGTTAACTGTTTAGTTTGTATTTTCAGGTTTGAAACACCAAGCAAACTCATCCAAAGGGTCCACTTCCGCACTAAGGTCAATGTTTGGTACATTGTCCAAAATTTATTTAAGAAAGGGTTTTCAAAAGATTAAAACAGGTAAAAACCAGTTTTTAAAGACCAAAAACGCCCTGCTCCTGACAGCTGTGGCGCCTGAAACCATCCAATTTTCTCATTAAGCTCAAATACAAAACATGAGGCACTGTTTTAGTCTTAGATTGCCTAATGTAGACATATTGGTGTGATAGTCATTAAAACAACTTCTTTTACTTCTCTGCTACTCTTTGTAATACATGAGGATTATTTTATAGTTTAAGTTTGTTGCATTGAATGTTAGTCATAGTGAATTCAGCTTGGTACTGCATTGTAACATTATACAGCAAGTCTTTACCACAGCGAGCGAAAAGCAGTCAAATTAGTTCCTATATAAGTTGTAATGCATATTTGTGTCCTGTTGCTATGACGATTTGCCAGCAGATTTAGATGGAGATCATTTCAGTGTTGTGCCGTTTCGTGATGACAGGATGCAGCTGAAAGCAAAGTTTGAAAGTCTGTCACATAAAAGGTTTAATATCTTCTTCCTTTCAACTGTTTTTGAAGCATCACCTGCATTTTTTCCTCCATTTCATCATTTGAGTAAGAAACCATCCCTTAAAAGTCAAGACAATCCTTTAAAGTTGAGATGGATTCACTGAACACCTGCACTTTGATTGGACCAACACACTTCTAACTGTTCTTCACTTCCTCCTCCTCTGGCGCTCGTTCACCGTCGGGTTGAACCCCAGATGAAGGGTAGATAATCCACTTAATGTTTGCCTTATCTTTAATGTCTTTGTATGTGCCTGATGGTGGAATTTATTGTTCTGCACGGTTTTACATGTTTTGAGACACTTTCTGTAATAAAAAATAATTTAAACTGATGTTCTTAGTGGATCGAGGGTTTCGTGAGTGCCGATGTTCAGCATCCAAATGTCACCTTGTGAATAAATGGTGTTCTGCAGCAAAGAACCTTTGGTTGTGCTTTACTAATCAAAAGAATTCCCTTTACCCAGAGTAATTGGGTTTTTTCTTTTTATTTACAAAACAACACGTACAAAAACTATTGTTTGGGACAGTTAATACTACTCAGGTTATCGTTGGATTATAGGCAGCGATGTGGGTGTTCAGTTGGGATGATGTAATGAGAAAGTTTCAGTCTTCAACTGTTCCATGGATCTGTGAAGAGAGAAGACATGAGCATCAGCCAGAAGTCATATCCTCTTAGAAAAGTTTTTTTATTCCCGAGTAAACCGTTTCTAGAAGTGTGAGACAGTTCAGTCAGTAGTTGTATCCACACTCATGGCTTAGGATGTTAAAAAGTTTGGGATACATTTATTTCACTAGATTTTAAAAACAAAAGGAGGCACAGCCCCGAATTTAGATGTGAATTTTCTCTCCTTAATATACGCTTATATGCACCTATAACCCAGCTAATCTTACCAGGCAGCACCACAACCAAGTCAGTGTTTAAAATCCTCCCAGAAGCCTTGATATTAGCCTGCTGTATCAAAGCCCAAACATTTTTTCCACTGAAAATGCCTCGTGTCCAGGTTTCTGTCACCCTCATTTAAAAAGGACATAATCCCGAACCTGATGTAGAATCCCTGGTCCAACCAGCAGTACTGCAGCACAGCTGAACTCAGCAGATGCATAGGTGGACAGTTTGTGAACTTCTTTATCAGATGGGGAAAACGATAGGGTCGCATGCTGAAAGTAACTAGATATCTGTTCAGAGGAGTCAAATCAAGCCTTTCATACAAAAACTAATAAATGTAAAGCATGACAGTGGCTGCATCATGCTGTGGGGCAGTTTCTCTAAAGTAAAGTAGTTTCTCTAAACCTGTCACATTTATAACCAATCTGAGGGAGCCTGATTCTTTATTACAAGTTTGATTCACATTCATAACTTTTATTATCATACAGAATCTGACTCATGGAGTCCAGACTTATCTGATGTTTGATTTACTAGAGATTATTAAGGTCACCCAGGAAAAAAAATGTGAGGCTTTTAACAATGTTTACCTTTTTTAGGATTAAGTATGTAACAACAAGAACATAATTTAAACTTTGATTCAAATGCAGAGAAAACTTTAAACAAAGAAAAGATGACACGGCCACAGCCTGCTTTAAGCAAGATGGAACCTTTATTTAAAAAAAAAATAATTCTAATAAAGATTAATTTTACATAAGATTTAAGTAACTCTGTTTAAGCCCTAAAAACCTCCTGATTGGATGAGGATATAGGAATAATTCATTTTTTTCCTCCGTATTTTAGCTTCCTAACCAAATGGAACTGGGGAATATTTTCTTAAACATCTTGTGTTTTCTATTCTTGAAATACATTTTTGACTTTATATTGTTTATACTACTACTGTAATAGGAAAGAAAACACATTTTTACCTGCTTTGTGACCCTAATCCTCATTTGTATCTATTCTAACATACTCTTTAGAGATAAATTGAAGTTAAAGTTTTCTGTGTATTTTTTTTTTTCTCTATTGGAAACAATTTTAGCATTTCCTGTCAAGCCACAACTCCTCTAATCATTCTAGATTTCTGAACAATTAGAGGTTTATTTCACTGTTTGTTTGGACTGGCTCTGGAACTTCACTGAAGCTTGTTTCCAGGTAGAACTGATATTGTTTTATCTTGTTTCACCCTGGATTGTTCTTTTACAACCAAATCCATAAACGACTTACAGCCTCAGCCAGCTCCGGCCAGTCCATCGCCATCACCACGGTATCATCTGAAGTGGGAGGAGTCTCTAGGTTCCAGTAGGTCAGCTTGTCGAACACTGAGCTCACCTTAACCGTCCTGTCCTTGAGATGCAACATGTATAAACAGAGAATTAATCCCTTTAACACTTATGCTAGTATCTGATATTACTCCTTTCCTGGACAGTCCATTTCCATCTGTTTGTAGGAGCTGGAGTGTACAGGGTCTATTATTACTTCACCTGCTGGTCAGAGCCATGGCGGTCGACTTCCTTCAGGACCAGGCCTGTGTAACCCTGAGGACAGCTGATCTCCTGTCCCTTTAACCCACGTCCTCTGAAAGACACCGTCTTCTCTGCAAGTGGATAGATGCATTGGTTATAACCAGGAACCTCAGTCTATTTTATTAGGAGAGCACCATAAAGTGGTGCATAACTGTGGAATGGAAGGAGAATTACAGGTTTACTGCATAAAAAAAAACTATTTTAAACTCTGTAAGATGAGGGAGAAACATGAGGAGCAGCGTTAAGTTGTCCTGGTAGATGGGCATCATCAATGACAAGCAGTGGACTAGAATCTGTTTGTTGTACCTGTCTTGTGCTCTTTAATCGTAGCTGTGAAATACTGGGAGACCTGGGCCAACCCGTTGTGCTCGATCTCGCAGGGCATGAGGTGGACTGGGGCTTTTTCTGCCCCTCTCAGCGAGGACAGATGGAGACGAGTAACGCTGGCGTTACAGGACATCCTGCAACCAGAGAGGACAATTTAGCACAATCCAGCCTAGAAAACCTTAAGAGATGAGATAACTTTGCCATTTCCATCATGATTCATTTTTACACTACAGAGAGTGTTCATATTTCTATCTGATGCTTGTGCAATGTATAATGTGCAATTTATACTATTTATGTTTGACACCCAGTTCAATAACTATATATATATATCCAACTATATAAATACCCATGTAAACTGTAAACACCCTATGCAATAACTCTGTATAATGATACCACTATAAAAAAAATAAATTAAAAAAGCTGTTATATGTGGACGCACTGTATATACTGTAAATTTCTTCACTGTGAGATCAATAAAGTCAATCAATCAACATGAAGCTGTGTGGAAAATACATCAGCAAGAGTTTCAGTCCTAAACAGAATAATAAAATCAGTGAGGGATCTATTTGGTTGGGTTTTTTTATGTTTTTTTTTTTGTTTGTTTGTTTTTCTTTTGCCTTTTGTATATTTTCATATATATATATATATATATATATAAATATATATATTTGTTTTTGGAAAATTTAGTTTCCAAGAAATAAAAAAAAGAAAAAGACAGAATCGTTTCCGGAATGTCCTTACATAAACAAAAATAGGATTCGATATCAAATAAAGCCCGTTTAGTATTAGCTTTGTTTGAATATTACTAACATGAAGAGAAAAACCTGAAATTAATAAAATATCATGCAGACAGTTTACCTTTCAGCTGTTTTCTACATGCAACAGGAGGTCTGGAGCCTTTTCCGGTTACAGTCTTCTTCTCTTGTTGAAAACGAGTTTGGCGCGGTGTTGCTATTCGGTAAGAGTATAGCGCCCCCAAGTGGTCGGAGACAATCGTCCTTTATTCTAGGGGATCAAATGGGAAGTTTGGCTCTTTCCTTTTTTCTTCTTCTTGTAGTGTTTTATGGCGGTTGGCAAACTAGTTAAGTTAAACAAGGAAGTAGGAAACAACACTCACCTCCAGAAAAAAGGAAAAAAATACTTCTTTGTTCACCTGTGTTCCAGATTTAATTTGGGGGGTGGGTGAGAGGAACAAATCCCAAAAAAAAAACATTTTGAAACATTGCTATTTATTATTTTTTCTGCTTCTTAAGCTTTAGACTTTTTAGTAATCTTATACAGTTATCTTCATCAATAGTTCATGCTGGTTTTAAGGGGAGTTTCATACTTTTTTTCTTAAAGTTGGCTTATGTTTCAGACATTTGCAGTCTTGTGCTGTCCATTTCCCAAAAAATCAAAGGTATCTTTTTATTTTGTAGACTATGTTTAAAAATGTATACATTATATTTAAGAGGACTTTTGACTTTTAACAAAACTTTATTTGCGAAATCATAACAATACAATCAATTATTTATATAAAACAAGAGTCAATTTAAAATCTCTATTTATGTAAAAACACGTGTCAGCTAATAAAAGAACACTTAAATGAGGAGCTTGTTATATTGTAATTCTCCATCATAGTGCATAAAAGCCTCAGTGTTTTGTGTGGCTCTGTGGAAGGGAAACTCCAGCCTTATTCTGGCTTTAACGTTGCACTTTCACCAATATTTAAGAGGAGGACCAAGAAGAAGAAGAAAAAATAACAATATAAGTTAAATTATGAGATGTACAGAATCAAGGCACATATTTAAGTGGTGTGAAGATGTTTTAACTTATGGTGACCCATCTTCTGACTGACCTCAGTTTGGCACCTTTTGTTTACACAACACACAACTTATCGAAATGCCACTAAACCACAAATTACTTTACATGGAAATAATGGGATAAGAATGAAGAAACACATAAACGGGTTTTAAACTAAGAGCTTATAGCAATTCTTATGAAGCACATGTAAGATATGCTTAACTGCAGGCTTGGCCACAAACCCACTTTAAATAGTGCTTTCATCCTCATACTGACCATTCCCCCAATCACACCCTGCACCTGCACTTAAAGGCCTTATTGAAAGGCTAAACAGCACATTTAGCAAGAAACTCGACTGAAGCTCAAAATCTTTTAACTGCAAGACAACAACTCTACACACCGAGCCACAATTTCCTACAGAAGATGACTCTAAAGCTTGTAACTTCTAGTCTATGTAATTCAAAATGTTAACCTGTTACATAGACAGTTTATCCTGCAGTTGATCAGGTACAATGACAGATCATGTAAAAAGGCAAAAGTTACACTGAAAGATTTGACCAAATTTAGCCCTGAATGTTCGCTCAGAAACTACAGGTCAATCTGAGAAGAGCAGTGGCAGGAAGACATTGTAACAATCTGAACTCGTCTTCCTAGAAAAATGAAACCCCAAAATCCCACGAGAAAGGGACAGTTATTCTTTTCTTGCTACTCAAGTGGCATTACTTGCCAAAGGGGATGTTACAAACAGCTATCAATGCAGTGTCCACAAGCCTACGTTTGTGATTGGGTTTCTATGTCATAACATTTCTGAAAACTGCTTTTTTTTTTTTTTTTTAGAAATATCACAACAAAATATTCAGTTGCAACGCAATAATGCAGCAGTGAAATAACACATTTCTGAACACAGGACACCCATCCTCACAGCAAGCTTTATTTAGCACTGGGCTTTATTGGTCCATACATTTTGATTAAACTAATCCTTTATATCAGTCAGTCACCTCATCGGAATATAAAAAAGACAAAAGATAATAAAGTATAAAACCCTGATGGTATTTTTGATCAGCACCTGTCATTCAAATCTCATGTTGAGCTGGTTTCTCAAATTTCCTTCTTTTATCTCTGGAATATTGCATAAATTAGAACCATCCTGTCCAGGGGTGATGCTGAGAAACTAGTCCATGCATTTGTTACTTTAAGGCTGGACTATTGTAATTCTTCACCATCAGGAAGTCCATAAATTACTGTTTAAAGTTTTCAGCTGATCCACAATTCTGATGAAAATGAAAAACATAGATCATATCTCTCCTATCCAAGCTTCTCTTCATTGGCGTCCTGTTAAATCCAGAATAGAATCTTAGATCCTCGTCTCACGTTTAAAACCCCATATAACCAAACAGCTTCTTTCAACTAATGATAATCTCTAAACTAAGGAACATGGTCTCGAGGCATGATCTGGAACTTATAATTCATGCTTTTTGTTTCTTTGCGTTTAGACTATTGTAATAGTTTGTTTTCATGTCTGAACAAGAAGGAGCTTTCTTGACTGCAATTTGTGCAAAACTCTGCAGCGAGAATTCTGACCCATAAAATAAAACAACTCAGTGCAGTGTCCATATAATCTGTAATTCTCCCTGCATGAATTATAATAAAGCTATTTATATGTATAAATCAAGTGGAACACTGTGGCGATAGCCGTACTGCTCCACTCTTGTGAAAGCAAAATCTGTTGGTCTCTTTTTGGCATCAAGACAATTATTCTTATTGCCACATCGCCAGACAGGACACTTAAAAAAAAAAAAAAAATTAAAGACAGAGCTGTCCAATGCTAAGAAAAGAAATTCTGTGTTTGATTTAATTCAGGTTTGATTTAAATGTTTACAAATCAAATCACACACAGACAAGGAAAGGTGAAAATAAATTCATAATGTCGATATGGTGGAAGACAATGCCTAGGCCAGAAGTAAGCCTTCTTTAATTTTCACAGATTGGTAACCCTAATATGATGTATTTTTGTTAAACTCGGAGGTGGACTGTGCATATACTGTACTTCCTGTCATGCAAAGGATTGTGGGCAACAATAACAGTTCCAAAGGGAAACAGAGAACAATCACAGTAGAATTCACCTTTCACCAGTTTTTTTTTTTGAGAGAATAATTGGTGGATTGAATGCAGTTGGGTGAAGAAGAAACAGAACAGGTGGTCAGATGGTAATGAGAGAAAATCAGAGAAGCAAAACAGACAGAAAGTAAACTAAAAGAAAAATAAGATAAAGGGAAGCAAATAAAGCAACTATTATAAGAAAATTCAAAGATCTTAAGATAAAACTATTTCATATTGTAAATCAAAATAAAGGCAACAACTTCAAATCTATAAAACTGATACATTTAAATGAAAACTGACAGAATCAAACAAAGCTTAAAGATAACATTTATTTTTAATGCTGTTTGAGCTCTAAGCAGCTTTGTAGATGTGGGCTGGACTAAACTCCATCCAATGACAGATGATAAGATGCTTAGGGGAGTTGTTTTTACATTTCACCAAGATCATTTTGCACAGAGAGACTTCGGGGAGAAGTTTCCTAACAGCGCTTAGTCGGCCAAGACAAACCAGCGGTGAGTTGCTGATCTTAAAAAGGGCAACTTAAAACATATTCCTGCTGGTTTATAGCTTTATATTTCAAAAGAGCTATCAGTGACTTTTTGTTTTCCTCTTCATTTTTACCTTTGTAGATAAGAACTGTCTAATTAGAATGATAAATTCAAGAACTTGCATTAAAAGTCCCTGATCCATGAACTTTAACATACTCAGTCACAAACATTCAGTTTTATCTTTGAGAAAATGACTGCAAGGCTTGAAAGCGGTCTACCTTAGCAGTCTCTTCTGTAAATCAGATCAAAACTTCCTTGTTCAAACAGGTTTATAGCACTTGATTTAATCATGAAGTTCTTGGTTTTCTGTGCAGCAATTTTTGATAGTTCTGTTTGTGAAACGGATAAACTTTAAATCCAGTGAAGTCGGACTGGAGGCTGATTCTTGGCCCAGTTTGGAGTCATCTGATGTAAGCAGCTTCACAGTGGGACTTGGATTGGACTCGGTGGTTTTCAGTGATCTCATTTCTTAGAAGCCTTTTGCTCTTCCTTTGTAACTGATTATTTCTGTGTGAAGCTTTATGAGAGTAAGCTTTATTTCTGAAATATTTCACAAGTGTCATCATGTGCTTATTGGGTCAGTGTTTTTCTTTTTAGTTTCCCTGCTCTGCTACCCTGCATTTCTTTAATTTCAGATCTTATGGATCAGGAAAACCATCTGGCCTCAGAGGAAGATGTCGGAGAACCTTTGGTCATAATCGGTCAGGTTCTGCTAAGGCTCCAGCAAACGGTGATTCTGGGAATCTCACGAGCACGTCAGAGAGTCCTGCAGGGCTTAACTGTGTTCTCCATTGTGATTCTTCTCCTTTTGATCGCTGCTTTTTTATATGGGACCTTCTACTTCTCCTACATGCCCAAAGCTGCTTTTTCTGCACCGGTGTACTATTATTACAGGTGGGTAAAATGCAGCTGCAAAGGACCCATAATACGGCACATTTTTTATGAAATACCTTTATTTGATTACAGGACAGACTGTGAATCACCATCATCTTTCTGGTGCTCTTATCCTGTGGCTAATGTCTCTTTGATGAGGAGCAAGAACCATGTATGTATACAGGATCTCTGATTATTGCTTTCTATGTCATTCTCCTCCCTTCCCTGAGTATTGAAGTTCAGTTTTGCTGGTGGTTCCTTGTTAAATTCTACTGTTACATTGCCTTTTATTTTCTGTAATTCTTCCCCGTACTGCTTTTCTTCTTTTATTTCCTTCTCATGATTAATTCTTCATTATGCACATTCCACACTCATGTCTGTGTTTTGGTCCTAAAAAACACTATAGAACATAAAAGCTCCACACAGTTTCCTCGATTTCCTTTTGTTATTATGAAAATTGAAAACCACATTGCCTTGTTGTGATACTCTGGGTTATTTAATAATTTAAAATCCCAATACAATATGTGTCACTTGTGATTTCAATATGTGACAAAGTGCATGGACATTTAAGCAACCAAATGTATACATTCTGATCATTTTCTGGTTTGTCGTAGGCGCTGACATTTGGCCAGGCGTATCGGATGTACTTGCAGCTGGAGATGCCTGACTCCCCCGCCAATCATGAGGTTGGAATGTTCATGATCAAGACTACCTGTTTCTCCCAGGGTGGAGACAAACTGGCCTCCTCTGCTCGCACCGTAAGCCATACTCTTGGTTTCTGCTCTAAATACGATAATTTTCTGCAGTGATTCTTAAAGTCATGTGTTTTTCAGGCAAGTCAGCTGCAGAAGGCATCCAGCTCTCGTTTTGTGAGTACAGCCTTGATCTGTATTAACTTTAATCACAGCCGCAATGTGGGCTAGTCAGAGCTGCTTGTTCTTATGACGAGCTTGTTTTGACTCAGATCCCTGAGTGAATGACACAGAAGGTGTTTTTATGCTACTAAAAAGCATGTGTATATTTTCAGTTAAAGTATTTTCTATCTATCTATCCATCTTCTCCCGCTTATTCCATTGCTGTACCTATCTCTGGCAGTCTATCTGTGAGAGGCTGAGTACACCCTGTACACAGGTCTCTGTTGCAGGGCAACACAGAGACATACAACCATGCACACAATTTAGAGATGTTAATTAACGGTCATGTTTTTTGACAGTGGTAGGAAGCCGGGGTACCCGGAAAGAACCCATGCATGCACATGGTGAACATGCAAACTCCATGCATAAATACCCTGGCCTGGGAATTGAACCAAGGACTTTGTTGCTGCAAAACAACAGTGCTACAAACTGCATATTTTTTTTAAATGTATTATTAAGTATTTATTTTGGAATGCCTTAATTGAACTGGAGTACAGGATCTTTTGGGGGGTTTAAAGGGTAAAAATAAGATATGACTCTGAAGACATTGTCTTACATCTGAAGTATACTCACTATTGGATTTAAGTGAGCTGTTTGTATATTTCACTTTAGTGAGACACTTAATCCAATCCACAATGAAATATTTGAACCATTCTGTTGCAAAGAACGAGTAGGAAGAAAAATAGATATTGGGTTTAATTCTGACAAAATTTGCTGCTGGATCTGTTTAATTGAATTTTTTTGGCATTTTAAAATAAAAACCTTTGAAAAGAGGAGAATGAGAACCTTTAAGTTGATCATCAATGCAACCTTTTTCCATGGCAGTTTCAGTTCCCACACCTGAGCGAAGGTGAGAAAATGACCCTGGATGATTGACAAACACTGCGTAAAAAATCCTGTTCTTTAGAGGTCCTTTATTTCTATTTAATCCTCAGCTAAATAAATGAGGTTAAATAAAATATTACAGCTGCAATAAACAAATCTGTTTCAGGGATTTCTACATATTTTTAAAGGGCTGCCAACATATTTTCAACCTCTGTATATTAAATGTATAGCGTTGTTGTGTTTAGGGAATGCTGCGGTACCAATCCGACCTGCTGAAGACTCTGGGAACGCTACTCTTCCTCCCTGCCTTTCTGAGCGGAGCAGCTGAGCAGAAGCAGGTTGTGGACGTGGAGCTCTTCTCAGAGTTCGTAGATGACCCAGTGAGTGACATTTGAGAAGGGAATTCCTTCAGTTTCTGGCACTAAAAACAAGTAAATTAAAGCTGATGTTTCCTTTGTTTGTTTTCAGTATGCCCCATCAGTCACAGTAGTCATCGAGGTCCTATCTAGCAGGGTCCAGATCTACTCCTCTCAACTGTATGTGCATGCCCATTTCACCGGCTTGAGGTGAGATAGATTGGTCTATGAAAGGATGATGAAATAAACTCAACTTTCTGAATAAATAGGATCAAATGATTTAACAATGAGGAAAAATACTTTTATCCAAACCCAGATTTGTTGAGGTGGCTGGTTTTTCCCCATAATAATAATAATAATTTAACTTTATTGATCTCACAATGGAGAAATTTACCTATGCATTTAACCCATCCCCTCGGGGAGCAGTTGACTGCCCTCGTAGGGCACCTAGGAAGCAGTGTGGGGTTAAGGGTCTTGCTCATAGCCCCAGAGTGGCAGTCCGCAGAAATGGGGCTCGAACTCAGAACCTCATAAGCCCAATACCCTAAGCACTAGGCCGCCACTCCCTCATTAAATCATCATTTTAAATCTTAACTTTGTATTTACTCTGATTATCTTTGTTTGAGACAATAACATAAAAACAAAAAAAGGATCTTTTTGAAAGCTCTGTCGACCATTTCAAACAATGTAATGATTTTAATATAGCTTGAGGGAGTCATAAAACACCATTTAGGGGCTGGAAAAAGATTTTAAGAATCTTTCTGATGAGATCTTTGAGGTGTCTGGAGGTCCAAAAGGAAAGAAATTAACAGGAAAATGAATAACTATATCATAAAAAGAATACATTTCTCGTAAATAAATATACCATTTATATATTTGTTTTAAAATTTAGGGATCAGTTTTCAACAGTATACTATCTTTAATTGTTTTTTTTCCTCTTTTTCTCAGATATTTGCTGTTTTACTACCCCATCCTGTCAGCCCTTATAGGCGTGGCTAGTAACTTCACCTTCCTGAGCTTCCTCTTCATCCTGAGCTACATCAGACAGCTGTTGAGACTGCAGCAAAAGCCTGAACAGGTGAGGGGAAGCAAGACTTTAGACCAGACAACCTCATGTTTACAAGGCTTATCGAATTCAAATCTGTTGCTGTGTAATAAGTCTGATCTATCTCTGAGGTCCATGTTACAGCTCACAACCAATGGACACCAGCCAGAGTGGAATGATGTGAATAACCAGCCTGGGAAAGAAAAGGGTCTCAGTACAGGTGATAAGAAATGAGACGGTCTAGCACAGCCACTCATAACCTTAACTCACCTGACTGGTGGTATAAACTCTTTTACAGATACTGCAGAGCGTCTGGGCCCCCTGCAAACTGATCCCACAGACCTAAGTGAGGATGAGCGCCACCTGCAGCTTAGCAGCAACACAGACACACAGAACCAACATGCACTTAATCAGGAAGACATGTACCAATCCAAGGCAGCCTAATGAGTTTTAGCCCAAAACTCATACAGAGAATTCTGTAAAAAGTTTCAAGATTTCAAAATTGAAGTATAGAAATGTTTTCCCTAAACTTTGCTTCATGTACTGGGAATCCCGTCTCCAGACTGTGGTTCAGCTTTTTACTGGGGGAAACTTGTGCTTTGAATTGACTCCCTTTATATTTTCTGATCGTATGAGGCTTTGTGTTATGAATTCGGAAGTAAAAAAAACTGAAATGGGATGGATGGATGGATGGATGGATGGATGGATGGATGGATGGATGGATGGATGAAAATGAAAATAACTGAATGAGGTAGAAGGATTAAACTCGCCTAATTGCATCAGCAAACCATGGCAAAAGTCGAAGGCAGATGAAGGAAAAGGAGCCACAGTTTAAAATTACAGATATTTTTTAATAATGCTTTTTATCTAAAACCCTTCCAGGTCATTAACACTTTAAATCTAAACTCCTTATTAGACTATGTTGACTGTTGTGTTGCTTCTCAATAAACTAAATGATTTTATTACCAAGATGTCCCATTTTTCTTTTAAATATTTTTCTTATTTTCATATTTTGGTTTTCAAAAATAACTTTTGTGGATCAGATTTATTTTAGGCCTATTATAAAATTTGTAAAACACTTTAGATACAGAAAGACATCAGTTATGTATTTCAAGTAACTTTTTTTTCACCTAACTGCATGAATGGCCTTCTTTATAAAATTTTAACACATACAAATGTAGATTTATAATTCAGTGGAATTTTGAATTTATTTTTGTCTATTTAAACAAGCTTTCGTTTCACAGAGGCAGTGGAAATGTGATAAAACCATTATGGCTCCACCTTGTTTTACAGGTTCTATCTTTTTTAATAAGCTTGTTTTACCTATCACGCATTAAAAACATCAGGGTATCATTTTCATTTAAAACGTACACCATTTAAGGTAAGCTTTGCCTTGTATGGGCTCCATGTAATGTGGGGTTAACAGTTTAGTTGGTGTGATAAAAGCAGAGGGAGGACATGGTACTCTGCAGTGTCTGACTCCGTCATTCCTGGATGTCATCGTGCCCTGAGGCGCTGTTGGCTGAGCTCCATCAGCCAGCCCAGACCCAAGCTTAGGAAACATCATAACGTCACCACATGCAAACTGTGGTTCCAACATAGAGAATGCAGGGGGGGGACGTAACTCCATGTCAGGCACAAGGCTTTGCTTCTCTCTGAACTCAACGTTGGATAAAGGTAAGAGGCGTCCTGCAGCTTTGGAAAGTTTTATTCTGCAACTTGTCCTTTTAAAGAAAACTTTAAAATTGTTGTCTTTGTTTTTCATGCCTGTAAATGCATTTCCTGAATCGTATTCAAAACTGTGGCTCTCTTGTAAATATTTCCCTGTTGCAAAAGCACATGCTGTGTCCATGGAGCAGAATCGCCACCTTTGCTCCAGTCGGGACTCGAGCATGGATACAGCAGAGGACCGAACGGGCTTAAAGATGGAGGGGATAGAGATAGAAGACACTGACTCATGTACTGCACTCTCAGATGAGACGCACCAACATCTGTCAATCGGTGATGAGCCGTCCAGCAGCTGCACTGAAGTCAGAGCCAAGTTCCGGCCCAGGCTCCTGGCCACTAAAAGCTTCCCTCCTTACAGCCAGTGTATAGGTGGACTGGGAGAAGACACGGATTGGGACAATGATCTAGACTCGGAGTTACAAATGGCTTGCCAATCAAATGCAAAGGAGGATATGCCTCATGTAAAACCTAATGAAGTGGACGACCCTGCAAAGTATTCCCGGGAAGTTCTCAGGGCCAGATGGAGGTCCAGGAGGAAAGAGAGACAAGGAGGGAGCTTCGATGTTGGCACGGACGGCTGCGACAGAGGAAGGTGGAGTGGGAAGAGGAGGGTTGATGAGAGTGAAATAACAGGGGAGCATGATGATGAGGAAAGGGATGAGGGGAAACACTGGAGAGGGAGAAGCTCCAGTTTGGAGAGAGGTGAGAACAATGAGGGGAAGCAAGATGGGAAACCTTCTTCCACCTCAGCAGCTCAGGAGGGGAACTGCAGCAGCATGGAGGCCCCCGAGGAGTCGAACGAGGAGGCCGAAGATATGCCAAGTCATCGGCATCCAATCCTCTCCAAGCTGCTGCACTCCTCCACCTCATCCTGCTCCTCCATCAACCTCTCTTCAGAAAGTGACGAGGTCTTCAGTGATATAGAAGATGCAATGTCTAAAAGAAAAACCTTCAAGAAGGTAAGAACACCTTATTCATGAATGGTTGACCTGGAATCTACATTCCAAGGGATTTATCCAGTTTATTAGTCTGTTATCCCCTCTCTGCATCTTTCTGCTGCGTTTTTTTTTTTGTTTGTTTAAATGGAAGAGAAATAAAACCATGTTTCTTAACTGTTCTCTGCACCTGTGGTCCAGCTGATTTGCATGGGCTTGAAAGAGGACTTTGACACGGTCGGATTTGAATGCCGTTTGCATGGCTGTTTCTGCTACAGATATGAGTTAAGGGAGGAGCAAACAGTGGGAGGACAACTAGAAAGTAGATTTTTCACTCCCTGGCCTCAGGGTGTTTGAACCATCAAACAAAAAAGAAAAGCAGCAGTAGGACTGATGGTGGCGAGTTTCACAGTAAAAACTAATTCAGAATCAATAGTATTTTAGAGTAAAGCTCAATTGTTGTTGAATAAACAACATAAACTAAAGCCATGTTTTCATTTTGGTCCAGCGTCTCTACTGAGCATGCTCAGATCAGCTATAGCCTTTGTTTTTCTGTTTTTCTGTGCAACTCCTCTGTCTCGTAGCAGCTGTTTTGTGTATATACAAAGCAGATCTTAAGTTTACAGCTATGCTCTGTTTGGAGAAAATAAACATTTTAAACCTTTGGCTCACAGGGAGATTTTTTAGAAGATGTTTGCTAAAGTTTAATCCTAGAATAAAAACAGAAATAAGACTTTGACTTTACCCATAGATTTCTTCTCAGGTTGGTCAATCGTTTGATAGGATGACCTAGATAGACATGATAAAGGTCAGATCCCCCCTCCCACATGAAGAACTCATAGTTTCTTCTTTGGTTATTTATCCCTCAGAGTCGCACCTGGAAAACCTTCCTGACCATGATGCATTGGTCGCTTCGGCGCCAGAGTTCCTGGGTCCAGCTGGCTGGACATCAAGGCATGTACATTATGCAGTCACACCAAGTCTGCGTAGAACCTCAAACGTTTTGCTTTTTTTGTGTTTGTTTCTTTTCCAACAATTTTACATGTTAAAACTAAATCCCTTAATGCATTTTACAGTTTAATAATGAAGAAAATGACACAAAGAAATAAGGCCTGGTGTATTTTTCTTGGGCCTTTGTAGTGTATAGTTTTGTTGAACCGCCTCTCATTGCTGTTACAGCTGCATGTCAGCTGGATATATGCCTTTACCAGCTTTGCTAACCTAAAGACTCAAATTGCTCCGATTAAATTGAGAGGCCCTAAAAAGCAATTATCAGGTCTTTTCATTCTATTTTACCCTGAACTTTGACTAGGTCACTTTACTATACTGTTATAGCTTTGGCTGTAGTTTTTGAAACTACACCTGCTCCCCAGTCACAAGTGTTTTGCAGTTTTTTTCTGGGATTGCCATCTATTCTCTCCATTCATCTCGCTCTGACAGGCTGAGACAGTAGCTGTCTCAATAACTAATTGCTGCCTCTATAAGATATTAAAGAACACACAAGGGCACTCATCCTGTCAGTGGCTACTCCTGAGTTGAGTATCTCTGCGGCTCCTCCAAAGTTATTTATCTCTCGTCTGCTTTTCCAAAATAATTCTCTAATGCTCCTTAGTGGCATCAGCTATCTATGGTTTAGTTTGTTGGAAATGCTAATCTATTACTTTGAGGAGGCTTTAGATTATCTTCATGGACATCTCTGTCCTAGGAGCTTCCCCAGAGCAAATGCAGGTGGTGGGAGAAAGATAAAAATAACATCATCGTGTGACATTGGGTCCCACCCCATGCATGAAGCAGAACTAAAGAGCTCCTCCAGCGAAACACCACTTCACCCTTAGTGTGCTAAGGAGCGCTCTCACAGATATTCGTCCCAGCAGCTGTTAGGTTTTATAATCCACCAAACTTGAGGTTTTTTTTTTTACGTCTCTGTGGTTAATTGTACTTTTTCCTCCTTTTTGAAATATGTTTTTTTTTCTGCCCTTTAATCAGTTGCTCGTATGCATTTGGTGTATTTTAAATCCCCCTATTCAATTTGGTATTCCAGTTGAGCTTGGCATCTTTTTTCCCCACCTCATGAGCATTTTTTCCTCTATATTTTTGTTTTTAACTTAATGCTAATGCATTTGGATTTCCCACTGTGAGTTTTTATATTCTTGCCAAGCCAATCAGATTGGCTCCGAGGTGCCATAGTATTGATATACTATTGATACTCGTATTCAAATCTTACTGAACTACTAGTAAAAGTTACTTGCTCTAACATCTACTGAAGTAAGAGTATTGAAGTACTCACTTAAAAAATACTTAAGTATTCAAAAATACAAATAAAAATTTCTAATATCAGTACATTTCTTTATAATTTTCAGAGTAATTTTAAAGAACCTTGTAATTATCAGAAATCATCTGCTGTATTGATGCGTAGAACCACCTGCAACAGATTCTACACCACTTGTAAATAACTTCAGCATAAAAAATGCCACACAAAATGAGACAGCTATAATGATTATTATTTCTTACTTAAAAGCAAACCAAAAAGAAATCGGAAGTGTCTTAATTCCCCTCACAATTTCACTATAGAATAGCGGTTTAAAGTTGAATCTATTACCACAAAGAAACTGCGACTCTGATTTGAGAACTCATCCCACTGAATAACTTGGCCACAAGGCAAGTAAATATGCCTTATAAAATTCTAAACTACAACTAATATCTGCCCTGAGTTTGTCACATTTGTGGAACATCATGCAAATCTCTAAAACAGTGGTGTCCAAATTCAGTCCTAAGGACTGCTATCTTGCATACTGAAATTGGGGAGATAACAAAGCAAAGCTGAGCCAAAAGGACCGAGTAACTAGCAGCTTCCTAGAAATGGAGTGGAGTAGAAAGTACAAAATTTGACTTTGAAATGTAGTGGAGGGAAAGTTACAAGTACTTAACAATCACGTGCCAACATGTTTGTCAGATAAAATCCCAAAGAAGAAAAATTAAGTTTGTAAGATGATAAAAATTACTGATCAATCATTGGACATAGCAAGTGTTCAGTTAAAAATATTTACTGGATTTACTGTCTTAGAATATTGTTTCTGTTTCTTGTATCACCTTGTGTTGTTTTGTCACTAGGTAACTTTCAGGTTAGCAAAGGGGGAGAGGTGCTGAAACTCTACAGTGAGCTGGAGGCGAAGTGTCTAGACTGCCTGATGAGAGATGCGCTGAGACCCTTTGTTCCGCAGTACCATGGCTTAGTTACCAGAGGAGAGCACTGCTACATCCGCCTGGAGGACTTACTCAATGGCCTGAGAAGGCCTGTTATCATGGACTGCAAGATGGGAGTAAGGTAGGTTGTGACCCACAAAAAAAAACAACGTAATTTGGTGTTTTTCAGCATTCTTTATCATATCTGTAATAGATGGCAATCTGTTCCATCTGTTTTAATAAAATTGGAGGCTAAAATAGCTGTAGTTATAGAAGGGGAGTTTCTGGCTGCCCAAAAACAAGAATCGTATATGCTTTTTATTTACCAGAACATACATTATTAATTCCCCCATGCCACATAACAGCAAACACGTGTTGAAATTAATTGTTGATAAAATTGGTTGGACTTACCTACATATCGGCATACAAGCTCGTATTTCTTTAATGTCATCAAATAGTTTGTTAGTTTATGTTTTAAGTGTCTTTATGAAATCAGATCTTTTAGTATAAAGAATATATTAGTGGCGGCTGCCGATCTTTGATACAGGGGAGCCTCGATGGTGTAAATGAAATCCAAACGCCTCGTATTCAAATGTTGAAATGCATAAAACACATCACTACAATGGGTAAAAATTGCTGTTGCGAAGCGCTCTAAAAATAAGTCCAGAAACCAGAGCATTAGTTCAGCACAAGATGTAATTACTGACTGAATAACTTTTCCTTCTCGACTCATGAGGGAAAACCTCCTCGCTGTCTGACCACTGTCATCAAAAGTATGTTTGCCAATTAGCATCGAGCAGCCAGCTTCATGACCCCCCCCCCCGCTCCATAGACTCCTTAAGAGCAGAGTTGTCAAGTAACAAAGTATTTGTACTTCGTTACTTGACAGGTCAAGTTGATACTTCAACTTTTACCAGAGTGGTTTTAAACAGTATCTATACTTCTACTGAAGTAACAAAAATGTGTACTTTTGACACCGCTCCCTAAGAGGTTTAGCCTCACTGGAAGTGATGTATTTTGGTATCCAATCAGGGCTCTACTTTCTCGCTGCTTACTTCAATAGACCAAGGCACAAACCTCAACAGGGATTTTTCATAGAGGCTGACCAGCAGAGTCCTGCTGCTCCAGAGCAGAGGGGAGATTTGTGTCCCAGAGCAGAATAAACAGCTGATTAATGAGCAATCCAAACGTGAAATCAGATGCATTTTAGAGTATATTTCATTCAGCTTAATGACTACGTTTATTAAGTTTACAATGCATATTTTACCAATCAGTTTATGAAATTTACAGGGGAGGTTTAGCCTTTCTGGTATTCAATGAGAGATCGCCACTGATGTATTTGGTCAGTTCAGTCTAATCATATTGACAGATATAAGCTCAAATAATATGCTGCAGTTCAAACACAGTATGAAAAAAATCTTTTCAGTTATTAATTGTCAAAAAAATTTATTTCCATGGAAATGCCTCTGTAACTTCTCAGTCATCCTGGTCATGATGGCATCCACAAACAGGCTGTGGGAGTGTGGCCTAGCAGTTAGAGCATAGAGGTTGGAAACCTGAGGTTTTAGGTTTGAGCCCCACTCCCACAGACTGCAACTCTGGGTCTCTGAGCAAGAGCATTAACCCCACACTGCTCCCCAGGCACCCCATGATAGCAGCCCACTGCTCCCCAAGGGGATGGATTAAATGCAGAGGTAAATTTCTCCAAAGTGAGATCAATAAACTTCAATTAATGAATTAATTAATTAATTAACAGGCTTAAATTGGAAGGCAACCGGATTCAAACTAATTTTTTTAAAGACTTTTCAACAGCTATGCAGGAGTCTTTGTCCATTCTGTTCGCCCGCACCAGCCTCTAGTTGAAGCGCTGATGTATTTAAGCAGCATGGAGCTCCATCCTCCTACACACATTCCAAGTGATTTGCATTTGACTTATAATGTGTGCAGGAGGATGAACCTCCATGCTAGGATCAGAAAAACAAGTTATTTATGAAAGCACCTCATGCATCATTATTTTTGCACTGCTAACATGCTGAACTTTTATAACCCTTTTAAATAGAACACAACTGAATTTTTCTACTGCATTTTGAATCATATTCAATTTTGCATTGCACTGAACTTTTTCATAACATTGCCTTTTTGCACCATTATTTAAACTGTTTTCTTTCATCTCCTAAATTGTTACATTCTGATCACTACTGAACTTTATATTTGCAAGTTTATTTTACGCCAACTGCAATATCATTACACTGTTGTAAGCTATATGAAACGAAATTTATAGTAATGCAACGAATAGACAATAATGTTTATCTAAGTCTATACCTTTTGTCAAGCTCGGTTAGTGAGATGGGCTTACTCTGCAGCCACATAACCAACAGAACATTGCAGAACCTTATGTTTAGCAAAAGTCTCAAAGGTTACATGTTGAAGCATTAATTTGGCAGCATGTAAATGATCTATCTGATCAATGAAAAGGAGGAAGTCTAAAATCTTCTCTTGGCTATGAATCATGAAGCGTACTTAGATTTTTCTGCACTACTTGTTTCCATTCAAAGCTTATTTTCGCTTATTACCATTGTTCAGTTATTTTAACATAAACATTAAACAAAGATTTTTTATTCCAGATCCACAACAACCCCAATCAAAATGCTTAGACTTCAATTAATCGGATTACTATCTAGAAATCAAATATTTTTTATTTGAATCATAAACTTGAATTCCTGCAAAACAAGAAGCTTCATATCAAAATGCAATAAACAGGAGTGCAAAAGGTTTGTTTTCTTGTGATCCGACAGTTCTCACCCCTTTTAAATGTTTCTAAATTCTGTGAAGGATGACAGTAAACAGTAAATTGCCTTTTGAGCTATGTCAGCATTTTCTATCTTAGGACATTCCAGGAGGAGGAGCTGATCAAAGCCCGAACCAAGCCCAATATGAGAAGCGACATGTACCAAAAGATGATAAAAGTAGATCCATCAGCACCAACAGCTGAGGAACATGCACAGAAAGGAGTGACCAAATGGCGCTACCTACAATGGAGGGACACTACCAGCTCTACGTCTACGCTGGGCTTCAGGATTGAGGGCATCATGGTACCAGAAAAACTCAGTTCAATCTTTTTTTTTTATGAGAAATGCCGTAGATATAACTTTACAATTTTTCTTTAAAACATTTCGGATTGACAGATGGAGGACGGCACTGTCCAGCGAGATTTTAGAAAAATCCAGACTTTGTCTCAGGTCACAGAAGCGTTACTCTACTTCACCAGGAATCAGTTGGAGACTCTGGTAAAACACACTTACACAACACAAATAACATTCAATTCAAAGTTAGCTGCATCAACAGTTATCGTGGAAGCTGTCTGAAGATACATAGTTGAAGGTTTCACAATGTACTACAAGCAGACAGTAGCTCTGATAATATGCAGGGGGAAAAATGTGAATAAATGATCACTTTGTTTCTTGAGCAGCTGAAGATGTTTTCCACATTTTCGCATTAAAACAAAAACCTTAATGTTTTTTTTTATTAATTTTCCAAGTGGAAGATCAACACAACCAGAACAAAATGCTGCAGGATTGTTAGCGGATTATAGAAGGAACACTTTTAAAATACATGTAGGGAAAAATAAAGAATTAAAAAGAAAGGTGCCTTCCTCATTACAGAGGGCAGAAGCAGCCAATCTAACTAGAAAAGCTCTACTCGGTTTGAGGTACTTTGCAACATCAATGAAGAGCTTTAATATTAAATAAAGGGTTGTTCTCCAAACATTTATTTATTTATTTTTTTCTTTCCTGGTAGAAAAATATCAACCTGCATTACTATTCTGCTCCCTGTCTGAGTTAACATCTGTCAGTGTGATATTTGAGCTGCCAAATATGCCTCAGAGACCCATAACTGTGTTGATTTTTGTGTTTTCAGAACGCGTACCACTCCAGACTCTTGGACCTGAAGGATGCGCTTAGGAGTTCACAGTTCTTCCGAAACCATGAGGTTGGTAAAAAAGGAGATATGTTACCTTCATCTGAAATTAAATGCTTATAGTTTGCTTTGATTTCCTTTGTGTTCAATGTGTCACTGTCTTATTACCTGCTCAGGTAATTGGCAGCTCGCTTCTCTTTGTCCACGACCACAACAAGGCCAGCGTTTGGATGATAGACTTTGGGAAAACGATGCCTCTTCCTGATTTGAAGGAGCTCCAGCACAGCGTCCCTTGGGTTGAGGGGAACAGGGAGGATGGGTATCTTATTGGTCTGACCTCCATCCTCACAGCGCTGAGCCAGGCCATCAGCGTAGCTGAGGGGCAGCAGGGGGGCAGCTGAGGGGAGGAATAGAAAGACACATGAAGTTCTCTGAGAGTCAGTGACACAAACTCCTGGATTTCAGGATGAAGCAGAAACAGTGGCTGCTTCAGTGAAGCCCAATTTAAATATAAAAAGTGGAAGCTAGTTTTTCTTACCGTGCATCTGGTATGTACAAAACAATCAGACGAGCTTTTTGTTATAAGAAATAAAGATTTTGAGATTTGTTTTTTTTTGTATAAAATGTAAAAAGATAAGTTGTAAAAAAAAAAAATGTTTTCTTTAAGCGCTATGTCACGCACAAAACCTCACGTTCTGCCTGTTTTAAGTCAGTACGTGTTTATATATTTAATGTAACTTGGCTTTTAAATAAGAAAAACCGGTAAAACTGGTCAAATGTATGTGTTGCCTTTTCATTACCTATGAAGTAAATAGACTTGATTTCACCAAAATGTTTCCCTTTCTTAACTTTTTTTTATTCGTCAAACACATTATATTGTTCTGATATTTTGTTGGCACATGTGTGAAAGCGTGCACGAGCCAATCTCTCCTCATGCACGCTCAGCTTAAAAGTTGCTGCATCGCTCATACAAGCTTACTTTCCAGAAGAAGATTTGCGTTTTTTCTACCATGTCAGATTCACCACCGGTAAGTGAAAATGGGGACGAGTACATAGGACGACCTTACGTAAACATATCACCAGAATGATTGAAAATTAGGTTAGACCAATTATTTTGATGATCCACCAGGAAAAAGATCATCATCCACTATACCTTTAAGCCTGGACTGTTTGGTGCCAGCAACCAGTTTGTTCCATCTGCATCCAGTCTGATCAATCTACTTCCAAACATTCAGCCATCATCCAGTTTACTCAGAGCAATCAGCCAGTTCAGCCTGTCGCTAGCAGTTTCTGCCTTCATCTGCCTCATCAAGCCTTCTACCTGACTGGTTAAGTCATCATATCCCAGCTCAGTTATGATTACCACTCTGCCTGCCTGAACTCATGAACTCTCAATAAACCTTTTAAATGCACTCTGTCTGGCTGAATCCTAGATTCTCAAATATTCTTGTTAGATGACCCCAAGTTAAGTTTAATAAACCAAATCAAAAGTCTTTATGCAGATTGTAAAATATTTGGAACAAAAATTAAGGAAATATGTGCTTGGTCGACTACCTGTGTGTGGAAACTTTGAATATTTGTAAGGTTCTTTTTGGATGATTTGTAATAAAAATGCATTTATGAGTTATATCTATGCTGGGCCCCAGCTTGGTCACATGTTACTGTGGGATGCTAACACATTCTTATGTGTGTTTTTTAGACAGAGGCCAACAGAGGCCAGGGCCCCTGTAGAACTAGTCCTGGCCCTTGTTATGGCCCCTGTACTGGAAACATAATACAAACAAAAATTCTAATGATGATATGCACTGGAACAGACATAGTGACTGATAGGTCCATTGAATCCTGTAGTTTTCTTTACAGTTCTGTTTTATTATGATTTTAAAATTAAGATGGTAGCTTTAGTCAAGGTGAGATATGATCACAGTATCTTCTGCAAAATGTTATTTTGAACCAAATAAAAAAAATACTCTAATTTTTTTCTAGCTGAGTTTAACTGCTTTATTTAAGTTCTAATTCTGGTTTGGTTAATTCTTGTAATTTTCAGATAAAATAAGTCAGATATATGAAATATTCCTGAATTACGAATGTACACAAAGCTAATATTCCAAAGAATTGCTTTATTTGATTTTTTGGTAGATATTTATTTAGCAATTTGCTTTTTTTTTTCCATGGTAAGGGTTGTTTAATATTTAAGGTAAATAGAATTAGCACTTTCAAACCAAAAGTACAAATTTCTAATTGGAACATTTTAAATGTTTTATTAAATCTCTCTTTAGTTATGTGGCTCTCTTCTCTAAATATATCTTTTAAATTGAAAACTATTACCCTTTTTTTTGTTTCATGCTTTTCTGTGCCTCCATAAGAATGAGTTCACTCTTGAACCACCGCTGCACATCTTTCAAATGTATGAGGGTATGAGAATTTAGCCACATTTGTTTTGTTTTTTTAGTTAAGTAGATGCTACCTTATCTACTTACCTTTACCTTCACCAAAAGCTGTTTTGCATTGCAAAAAATTGACAGGTTTCTTAGGGTGGATAGCATCAGCACCTGCATGTTTATTCACTTCTAGGTAGAAGTGGCAGAGTTCCTGTAAATAATGCCTAAATGGGTTGCTTTCCAGTACAAACAAGAATCATATGTATATTCCATGACATTGGAGGATTTTGATTTTCCTTGGACTATCAAACTGTGTTCAATTTTTAGCCTGCATTTGGAGCAGAATTTGAAGATATGGATAATGGAGCTCTAGCTTCAACATTTCAACTTTTTATTGTAGCATCCTTATCAGCAAAACTGACTCTTACCGTAAGGCTTTGCAACCTCCGGTACCATGTTCTCACATTTATTGCACCACCTGATCCACCTGTCCGTATGAAGACTGTGTCTGAATAAGACCAAGAACTGTGGTGTCTTAAGCAATCTTCAGAAATGTAACCGATCTGCTGAGGTGCTGCATTTTTATACAGGCAGAAGAGGAGTGGGGAGAGAACACATTCCTGAGGAGTGCCAGTTCTGATGGCTGCAGTGCCGTAGTAGATGCTTGATGCTCTAACCTGATACTGGTCAGTCAGGAAGCTAGGTGGATGAATTTCTGTATATTGGCTAAGCAATAAGATACAGATATCTGAATTTTGAAACATTAAATAAAGATCTAAGATATTGTTGTGGGCAATAGGCTTTCATAAACTGAACAATGTAAAGATACAAAGCTGCCCCATTAAAACTTTCCCTCATAAATGCATTATTTCCATCTACTCTTAAATGTGATACTTTTCTTGTCATATGTTAAAATGTTTAATAATTTCTTTATGGTTTTCATAAGAACAAAAATGCAATTTTAACTTTAGATAACAGGGTGTGATTTTACAGTATCGTTTATAGTTTCTCTGAAATATTGGATGTATTTCATTTTGATTGTAGATTAGGACAAAATAGAGGGTGTCACTGAATAAAAATACAAACTCGACATCAGTGATCTGATTCAGGATTAGACCTGCAGGTTTAGTCCTATTCCTCTAGGCGGCGCCATTACACTGTTTGTCCAGGGGGGAAATTAGCCATGGCAGAAAATTAGCGGGTAGATACCTTCATTCCTAAAGGTATTTCTAACATTCAACGAAAATGTGGACATTTTAATAAATAATTAGGTAAAACGGAAAAGATAACGAGTCAAACATAGCGCAATAAAAGCAGTCAGGGTAATGTCAACAGCTAGCTAAAAGCTAATTTCAACCACTACTTTATCTGGTAAAGATAGAAAACAAAGTTCGTTTATCTGAAGTTATGAGTTCTGGATAAATAACTTTATCGGTTTGATTTAATTTGAAACGCTGTAAACATTTTAAAGGAGTGAGGTTCGGTATGTTTCGGAGAAGCTACCCTGAACTTGCTGTGGTGAGCCACGTGTTAAAAGACGGTAAGTGATTCTGGGGCTGTTCCCTTATTTTCAATGATTTATTATGAATGATAATAAAAGTAATTTACAATAATAAAGAAATACCCAGTATTAGAAATTCAACACAGCTTATTTAGGATATATATAGGTGCTATGATGTTCAGTTTTTAGGGGGTACCAGCAGCGGGGGTAATGAACTGGAAGAATGCTTTAAAAAATTGGAAAAGGAGAGGTATAAATTAATCATCAAAAGTGAAAAATAAATTTTAAAAAGATGATGGAATCAATATATAAAAAGGAAAACATTTAAATAAATTACTAGGATATATCAATAAGGAATTTTGTTGAGAAAAGTAAAATACAGGAAGTAGAACTGATGAGACTGAAGGTAGAACATACCATTTATCTTAATGAGATGCTTTACAGGATTAGGACCAAATGTGAAGGATGTGGAGCAAAAGAAACTAGATATACTCTGCCATATTTACATAAATGCTTGATAAATAAATAAGCATACAATTAATTGCCCCCCCCAAAATACAATAAACAAATAAATGTAGGTAGAAATTAAATTAGTGAGATATAAATATCTTTTATTTAGTTTCTTTATTTATTTGCCTTTGTAATAATGACCTTATTTATTGTCCATTTTAATCTTCAACTTTATTTATTACTTATATTTTTAAGTATTTATGTGCATGATATATTTTTGTCTGTTGTATTCTTCCTTTGTATTTTTTTACCCTATTTATTTCTTCCATGCTATTTATTTCTGCCTGTCGTTTTTACATTTCTGCATGCATTTCTGCCTTATTATGCAAATGAGGAGGGGGTGTGTCTTATAGTCAACTTTTGCCCATTGGTTGGTTAGCATTTTACTGCATCGGCTGAATCTACAGGAGAGGAGAGGCTGAAGCCGAGTCTAAAGTCAGTGGTGGTCACCTCCTGTTATTAATAGTCTCTAGATAATAATAAATTCTTACTTTTTTCATTTAGTGGGGGAATAATAATTAACAGAGTCAGATAAACACAAATCAAATGAAGATTTTGCCAAATAATGCAAAACAAAATCGACATCACAGCGGTCCATAGTTTTTTTTTTTTTTTAAGTAAGCATAAAATCTGTAAATGGGCCATACAGTGATGCTTAGAAGTATAATCTTCTCGCCTCAAATGATCTTAAAACTTACTTTTATTGAACAACAGCAACAGTAAAGAGAACTTGAGTTAAGATTGGTCACCAACCATTTATTAGTTTAATGTATTTTTGAAGGCAATTATTTATATGCTATTAATTGTATGCTGCTGTTTATTTCTGTATTTATTCCTAAAAATGGCAGAGTTGGTCCTCCATACACTCCATCTCTAGTCACAATAATACCTTTTACAACTTTCACATCACATTAAAATATAAATTTATAGGAAGATAACTGATTTACTTTTAAGTTTGTACAGTATTCTTAAAAAAGACTAATAACTTTACATCATAAACTTTATTGTTATCTTAAAGAAATAACATAGAAATCCAGATTTTCTCCTTTTTAAACGAGTGTGAACAAGATTTAATCATCTCTGAAAGCTACCAAATTTTATTTCATTTATTTTAATTATTTAGGTAAATATACCCTATAAACCCCTCGCCTCTGGGCATGTATTTTTCTATTGATACCTATATTTTATTTAATATATATATTAGTTTAATAAACAAAGGAAACCAGGAAAAGATAAACCGATAAGATCATGTCATCTTTTTTATAAAGTTCCTGACAATACACCAAATTTAAATATGGTGATATTGGATAATATCACCATTTTAGCAAATATGCTTAATCTGACATCAGCAGTTCTCTGCTTGTTTTCTCTTCTTCTTCTTCTTTGTTAGATACGCGGATTGCAAACAACTTCTAGGTGCATACAGCCACCTACTGTACATGAGTGTGTAGCTCTATTGTTCCGCCTACTATATTCTATTTATTTATTTTTGTGTTATGTAAAAATAAAAACAATGCTTTATTAATAACCAATTTTTTTTCCCATATCTCCATTTGTCCCTAAAATTCCTTTAATACTTTCCTCATTCTCAATCCGTCAAAACATGATCCACATTTTCTTTCACAACCCTCACATAAGTAAATATTTATCTTCCCTAGTACAATCAAAAACTCATTCAAGTTATGTTTTCTCTCCTTTTGTTTAAAAGGGGCTTTAAACTAAGGGTACCTCCCCCGTTTTTGACCTGGAACAGGAAATGGTATCAATGTGTTTTCTTCCGTCGTCTCTTTATTAGCATCGGAAGCTAAGCTAGCTTATCAGCGCAGACGACAGAGTAACCACATTCTGTTTGCCTGTTGTTTCCCACTGGAACCATTTTGGGATGTGTGAATTTTTTGCACTGGCTCTGACTTTTGATTTATAAAGGATAAAAACCGAGAGCCACTCCGTGTTTCTCCAACAAGGGCTACTCTTTGTTTTCCGCCCTTTAGCGAACACTATAGAAAGAACATGGCGGACGGCGGGCGCTACTACAACGGTAAGAACCACGTTCACCGTCGCATCCAGCTCACATTCTCTCCTCTTCTTACACCTTTCCTTCAGACCGTGAAGACTTTATGGTGAGGAGAGAGGTCACAAGAGCAGATTTCACGGTCTACAGAGGTAACATGTGTCTCAAGGCTCACTGGACAAACTATTATTAATGAATATAAATGTTTAGTCTCTCTAATGGTCTATCTAAGCAATATTCGCTGCTAGAAATATATGCTTGCTATTCTAGCAATTAAATAAAACTTTTAAAGTGAAAATAAAACTAACCACAGCACCGCATTCTAACTTTTGAGCCAGCAGTACCTGTAGTGTATAAAATGGTTAAGCTGTTTAGAGGTTTAATGATATATATGTTGACATTTTGTTTATACATAAGAGAGTGATAGAGCAAATCCAAATATTAGCTTTTCTTTTAGGTTTTCTCAAGTTAGAAGGATTTTGAGACTGATCATAATCAGTTTAGCGAAAGCATACAAAGAAAAAAGCCTTTCTTTGGTATGTGTGCTACAGAATGTGTTAAAATATATTCAGCTTTACTGGACATATATTTTTGTGAATGGATAGTATGACATGTGAGAGGTAAATTAATTTATATGTTTGTTTCTCATAGAAAAAAAACAAGCACAGAAGAGCTAACACAAGTGAGCTGTCAAGTCATTTGAGCCTTTTTATTTATTTTTTTTAATGCAAGGAGAAGTTTATATTCTGTGAGATCAGTGACTGCCCTCCGTATTCTAACTAACTGATGCAACCTTGTCATTCTAACCTTGAGCAGATTCTTAGTCCAATTTAAAAACCGTGGGAGCTCCATAATATTTCTGATATCCGAGTTGTGCTTAACGCTGACAGCTGTTCTATTCCTTCGCAGAGCATGATGACAGAACTGCTCCATTTCCCAGCCGCAAAGGCAGAGGTCACAAGAACCGGTCATTCGACAGAAGGGACCGTCGGCGAGGCGGTCACCCAGGAGGGTTCGGCCCCGGACCTCGGTCCAGGCTGCTTGACGATACAGATGGAGATGTTACTATGAGTGACAGCTCGCAGGACAGCAGCTCACAGAACAGATTGTAAGTTTTTGTTTCTATGTATTGGCTTGGTTCTTTAATGTTTAGGCTAGGCGACTTTTAGGTGGGGTTAAATCTCACGTACAGAGCATTTCAAACATAAAGTTGGACACTGATAAACCTCCTACTGTCACTTGTTGTGAGAGATGTGGAGAATCCTGTGTGACAGAAACATTAGAGTGGTTAGCCAGGCCCAACCTGACTCTCCATGTAGTTTTGACTAATTGAAAGACAGACTGCAGTTAAGGGGTGTTGGCAGCTTCTCTTAGAGCTCATCATTGAAGAACTTCAAATATTTAGGTCAAGTGTTGAGCTTAAAAAAAAACAAGGCAAAAATAATGCATGGTTGTTTATGTGCTCTGTTGAAAATCTATATGATCTCAGTTTCCCTTCTGCACGGTCTCCCTGTTTAACTCAGTGTACAAGAAGGCAAACAATGTCCAGTGGAAGAGGCCCATTATTCTCTGTAATGTTTTATAAAGTTAAAAACATTGAACAATATTACAGTTATTGGTTCCAAAAAGGTTGTGGTGGAATCTGTGGGTTAAACCTTAGACAGAAATCTGGGTTCATTCCAGTCTTGAGTCTTGATCTTTGCCTTGTTTCATCAAAACTTCTCATCTTTACTGTAATACTTGACTGATATCTAAGTCTCAGAATAAGCTCTACCAGTCCAGGTCACTATTCTGTCTCTGATTAATAGGCTCACGTTCTATTAAAGGTCCCATATTAATCTACATGCTGGTGAAGGTTCTCAGTCATCCAGGTCATAGTCATTCTGAAAAAGTTTTAAAAACAATCCACAATCAAACCTTGGACACAAAGTCCAGTGGATTAAAAAAAAAAAAAAAAACTTTTTCAGAACATATTGTTCTACATTTGACAAATAAAAAAATATTAACAAGAAGGCCCCTGGAGCATGATTTTTTTTCGTTTGTGCAGGAAAATTCCTCTCAGATTAGGCAGATGGTCTCTATCGTAAATCTCCTTCAACCCTCCTCTGGACATGCTGTTTTGGCTTTCCATGCCCCTGTCCCCCCGAAAACCACGCCCCCACATCCTGCAACCGTGACAACCAGTCAACATTCTTAAAGATAGTTTAGGAGCACAGGATAATAGATAGGGTGAAGGCCATGGCTACAAACTGCTCTGAACATTTTATGACAGATTAAGGGACATTATTTTCAAACAGAGCATTATTAAGTAGCTAAGAGGTGTAGAAAGGCAGTGAGAATGTTTTTTCTTTTTCATTTCTTCATACCCAGGCTTCAGGGCACATATGACTTACAAAATGTTTATTAAGTGAATATTACGCAATGTGGGACCTTAAAAGAACTATATATATATATATATATATATATATATATATATATATATATATATATATATATAAAATAATTTAAAGGCAAATTCATTATTAGTGGACTGTTAGAAGTGTTGCAGAGTTAGTTTACAAAAAAAATAGCCTCAGTTCCAAACATGTACGTGTGCGTAACATTGTTTAATCTAAAGTGTCGCTTGCTAAACATTATTTTAGGGTTTAGCTGTTTTTAGGCACCAACTCTTGAGCCTTCAATGAAGAGCATTTATAAACGTCGACCCATGATTCTGTAAAAAAAAAAAAAAAAAAAGAAAAATTTTACCTTTGAGTAGAATATTATTAGAAATAAAACAATTTATCTTCCTCAGCACCCCATATGTAAGACCATCTCGGAAGCCAGATGGACGATTTGACAGACGGCAGATGCCAGGTGGAAGAGGAATTCCAGGAGGTGGAGGCAGAAGAGAACGAAGTGTGAGAAACCGGTTAGGCTGGTACAAAGTCACGGTGAGGGAGTTTGCATTAACGTCGATAATAATAACACAGTTGCATTTTTAATCCTTTCAGCAGGGATTACATTTTTCAATTTCTGATTATCAGATACCACATGGAAAAAAGTATGATAAGAAATGGTTGATAACAGCGCTCCAGAACATCTGTCCGGTTCAGTACACACCTGTACAGGTGAGACTAAGCTCTGCCTCATGAACCACCCTTTATAAATCAAACAGAACTGTTTAAACAAAGTTTTTCTCCTTCCCCCTGCCGTTGTAGTACCATGTTGACCATAATAGGGCCCATTTCTATGTGGAAGATTCAGCTGCTGCTGGTGCTTTGCGAAAATGTTCTCACAAGATTACAGACTCAGACGGCTATAAGGTATGTTGTGTTGAGGCAAGTGCAATTACTGATAGCCTATAATAGTCTGCTTATTATTAGTTGGTAGAAAATGCTGATTTTGGCTCACACTTTGATTTAGCTTTGGTTTTAAAGATGCATTTTATCTTAGAACTTTTTCTGTTGGATCTTGATTCTTTTAGGTGGAATTGCACGTCAATCCAAGTAATCCCCCATCCTTCCTGCAGTCAGACCTGAAGCCTGAACAATTAGAGCACCTGAAGGTGAGGTCTAGATTTATTTTTTTATTTCTTTTGTTTTTACATGAAAACATGAACCGAGTATAATCAGAAATGTTATAAAAAGATTGCATATATTAAGCACTGCAAACATGTTAACTGTAATAACGGTGTCAAACTTAGACGCTTATTCCTTATTTTTCTCATTTTAAATTACAGTACATAAAGTTATTGGGGTATTATGATATCTTAACATACTGAATTAGATTTTAGTCAAAGAGGAGTGAACAGATTTTAAAATAATAACATTAAAAAAATATTTCCAGGTATTACAGTATTCTGATAATCAGATAATTTCTTAGAATGTCAAAACAAACCTGTCTTATCCTTTTTCTAAAAACCTCCCAGTTTCCTTTGAGTCTTGCCTGAGGGCATGCATAGTTTCATTAAACCAAGGCTCAGAGAGCTTGTTTTTCTACATGGTTTTAAGAGGAGCTGTAGAGTCCAGAGTATTTGACTACAAGATGATAAATTAAGTAGTAAGAGCATCGACATCAAGATTGCTGCCAGTATGAGGCAAAAAAGGCACTGGCATTGTAACCTCATGGATAAAATAACAAAAGGCAGAGCACGTCTGACGGTGTGCCGGGGACACCGACCCTATCTTTCCAGGAATGGACATGCATCATTTCTTTCATATCTTTATTTTATCTTTGACAGCAATGCATGGCGAAACGTTTTGATGGCTCTCAACAGGCACTTGACTTGAACAACATTCGAACTGATCCAGGTATTTATCCATTTCCTTTATGAGTAAGTTGTGAAGTTGTTGGGCTGCAGAATAGCAGCTTTGTGTTATAATCTAAAAATTTTTCTGTTCTATTGTTCTTGAGTTGTTTGTAGTCAGAAGCCTAAAAGCAACTCTTCAGTGAGCCAATGATGCAAAGTAAACACTGTTTCAGCTTATTTGGCCCATTTTATTTGACAGACTTGGTGTCTCAGAATATTGAAGTCATCCTGAACAGAAAGACAAACATGGAGGCTGTCCTAAAGATCATTGAAGAAAACATTCCTGAGGTAAGGTGCAGGCTGATCATTAGTTCCTGCTGGGAGACGCAGAGATGGGATTAAGGAAATATATCCTTTTAAGATTTCTAATTGTTTTTTATTGTATTTTGTTTTTTTGTCTGTTTCTCATCCAGCTGGCATGTTTGAACCTCAGTAACAACCGTATTCACAAGCTGGATGACCTGGCTGATGTGGTTACCAAAGTACCTAATCTGAAGGCTCTCAACCTTTCTCAAAATGAGGTGAGAAGAGCTGCTGTAGTCAGTAAATAATCTATGCCAAGAGTCCGACAGGTTCTGGAGCCATAATTTGCTCTTTGGACCGTCCACAGTGACTCCTATTACCCAGACCAGGAAAAATATTAACCTCCCTCTGGATATTAAAGGTGTCATAGAATGCAAACCCGAGTTTACCTTGTAATAATTGAATAACGATAGCTCAGTGGATGAAATGGGTTATACAGAGAAGAAACCCCATTGACACCTTCTTTTTCTGCAGATCTCACAATTCTAAACTTCCACCATAAAACGGGCAAATCACGGGGGCCGCCGCTGTCCAGGGTATCGTCACTGGGTCAGTTTCGGTCGCTCCGTCGAGGGTTCCTGGACCAGCCCCAAAGCTCACGGTTCGGTTCTGCTGCTTTGTAGTTGGCCAAATTTCGGACAGTTTTGAAATCCCCCCATTTCCCCCAATTATTCTGCGGAAAAAGAGGATATCTAGTAGGGATGTAAATCACATCCATCATGGCGATTCGATTCAGTGTCGATTTCCTGACCCAACGATTCAATTATTATCGTAACTCAAGAATACACCACGATACGATTCGATTAATCGGTTAATTTATTTCTTTATTTTACACCTTACAGGCTAAACAAAGTTTCAAGTTTGAAAGAAATCAATGAAAGCTGTAATATCGTTATGCATTTTTTTTTTTTTTTAGAAACAACAGCAAATAACAGAAGTAGAAAAGTTGCATCCAAAAATACTGCACATAATCAGTGCAATGAGTGCAATGCAATACCTCGGCTCCAGACGTCCCCACCCCCTTAAGAGACGCTCCGCTGCACCTCTCCCAAATTGTAGCTCACCGCAAACAGTGCAGCAGACAGGACGCCAGCTTGTTTCGTTTTTATGACCGAAATTGCGGAAAACAACTCGTGAAGTTTGACCCGCTAGAAGAGTGAGTTGCGCGAGAACGCTGGGACCCTTTTTCCACCTGGATCTCCGAACTTTTTGGCCTTCGTGTCCCTCCGTCGTCGGACTAAACTCGCCCCCACTTCCTCGCCGCCTCAGCCGTATCTAGACCCACAGAGTGTAGCACAGACCACGCTTCAATATTGAGCATAATTTAAAAATGTCTGTGTCAAGCTCACGGCAACACACTGCTGTAAAAGTATAACCAGGGTGCGAGGTAGGAGGGCAAAATAGGTTTAGCGCCACCGCAGCACGGGAGGGAGAATTACGTCCAGGAGCAAATGGATATAAATAGACCGGAGGAGAAAAAAAACATGAATCAATTCTCTTGCGGACGTGTCGATGCATCGGGTCGTCGGCTGTTGGATCGATGCATCGATACAAAACTATTATTATTTTCACCCCTATTATCTAGTCACTGTATCATATCAACAATTTCTATGTTTCAGTGAGTAAGTGCTTGTTGCTATGATCAGTCTTTGCTCAGCAGCTCGTAAACAAACCAATCAGCGAACAGCTCATCTAAATATTCATGAGCATACCATAAAAGGAAGAAAATCTATTGTTTCATTCCTTTTTGTTTTTATTGTTTCATTCTATGGGCTTTTAACCAGGTCTGCATTAGGGTGCATAGAACAGCAAATATGCCATTTTCAGCCCAACCACTGTTACATACCCTATTTAGAGACCTTAATGACCAGCACCAGATACCCTATATAATCATTTAGAAATGAGTTTTGACGTTTTCAGCTCTAAATTAGTTTGTTTTGGTTGAACTTAGAGTAAAAATAGCTCTTTGGACTGTAAAGCATGCAGACCACTGATATAGTGTCATCTAGTTAATCTTTTAATCAGATATAGTGTCATCTAGTTAATCTTTTAATCACCTGAAAGTTTTTCTCTGTAAAAACCAGAGTTTAATGCAATTCATGTTGATTTTGTGCAATAGATCAATAGAAAGTAGTTAATAATTGTGTAAGCAAGGGTTTGTCAATTTGATGAATCTATCAACCGTCAACTTTAGACCCAGCCATTTTATTTCCTTAATTTTTTTTTGTTTCGTTTTTGGGCCTACGGGGTAAAAATGAAGCCCACAACAAAACAAAAAAAAAAAAGAAAACCTAATGCTGTTTTTAATGGTACACCCCAAGTCCTTCCAGCTTTTTTTTTTGTTTTTTTTTTTTTTACGTTTGTTCACAGGCTGTCTGTCCGTCTTTTACAGATTTGATTTTTAAGGCAGTGAATGCAAAATTAAACTATAAAAAAATGAAAAAAAAAGGATAATTTTCTCCTCCAGTAAAGCTGTACACTTTCCATAAAAAAAAAAGAAAAAAATCTTAATTGGAAAAGGGAAACTATTCCCACTAGATGAAACTTTTTTTGACAAGCATGTTTTCCTATTAGATTTTATGAGTGTCCTGGGTGGTTAACAGTATTACCAGCGGTGATCTTAGGGCTTGTCTTTGTCCACAAAGTCACCTATATTATCCATTGCCATGTGTTGGACCGACAAATATTGGTTGGAAATACTATGATACGATTTAAATCTGCCGCCTCTAACAAAACCTGTTTGTTTTTGGTGTGAATGTTTTAGCTGAAAACAGATCGAGAGCTGGATAAACTAAAAGGCCTGAAGCTTGTGGAGCTGTGGCTGAGCAATAACCCTCTGTGTGACCACTTCAAGGATCAGCCTGCATACATAAGGTCAGTCCATGATGCGTGGGGGGTGGGATAACAGTTGGGTTTACAGGGGAATAGCAACATGTAGGTGACTGAATGTAATCAGGGAGGCTAACCTGTCAATACAGAGTGAGAAACAGCTTGTTTGATAAAGATTTTCAGGAAGTCCAGTGTTTTGATAATGACCTCTAGCTCTACATAATAGGGCAGGATGATACAGAAAAAAGCATATCGATTAAAAAAAATGCATATTGATCGATATATAATTATCTAAAAAAAATAAAAATAAATATTTTAAGTGCAGCTCTCACCATTTTAGGATATTGCAAAATGATTTACTTTTCCAGACAAATCTTCATTTAACCAACTTTTTAAATCATAACATATATTGTTGTTAAATTATCTTCCAGCCCTACTACATAACAGGCTAAAGTTGGGGTTTAACCTGCTGATATTAACTACATTTTTTTTTTTCTGTGTTAGTAAAAGCAAGAAAAAGACTTTTACTAGTTGTTCTTTTGAAGTAATTTTCTGGCTGCTGTATATACTTGAGTATCTCCTTCCAACTAGAATCTGACGCCTGGTGACCTAAAGGATAGATGAACAAGTCAGATAATAAGATTATTTCCAAAGCTCTAATGACATAGTGTTTGTACTCATCCAAGTGAACATAAAGCAGCCTTAATACGTGCAGAAATGTTCATCTGATCTGCATTAATTAGTAAAAAGTATATTTGTTTCATAAAGACATGTTTTCCTTTCTCACTTAAAGCTAAACATTCCTCACTTCCATACGTTGCCGAGAGGACTTCAAAATAATCTTTTGCTTCTTTCAGTTTGCTGAAACCCATTTCACTCTGAGCGTTCAGCCTCTTTCTGCCACTGTTAGTGTCACTTTGAGGCTTCTTCAGCTTTGGTGATGTGTTTATGGTTCTCTGTGATGCTCTATCCAGCACTCCCCTGCTGTCATTCTTATTAGTCTTCCCCTCATCTGTTGCAAAGCACACAACCGTAATTACAAATCCTATTTAACTAAACAAAGAGTGAGTGAAACAAACAGAAAGTGTTTTATGCATTGAAATCGTTTAAGCTACAGCACTGTTTGCATGTGCTGTCTTGGAAAGAGAAACCCATTGCCAACCTTGAAAGATGTTTGGAGGAAGCAAAGAAATTCTGCAGCCCTTTTCTCCCCTCCCCTCACAGCATCAGTGCCCTATCGGCCCCTGTCTCAGACGAGTATGGAAGGCTGGATAGCCAATGACGGGTAAGATCCCACCTTCAAACCTCGGGACAACCTAAGGCAGGCACAGTCACGATTACTCGGCCTTAGTCCCCGTGAGCTCAGGCTCACCGAAAGCAAGGAGAGACGACACCGAAGAGTTGGGACTTTACAGGCATGGCCGTTTGGGCAGAGGCGGAGCGGGATTTATCAAGATCAGTGATCCATGTGAAGAGAGCAAAGAGAAAACCAATTAGTCTCTTCCAATATTTCTGATCTCATGGCCTGAAACGGCCCCTGCTTTACAGAGCAGTAAATGGAAACGCTGGCATTAGCCTTCAAAGGCCTCTAAAAGAAATGGATTCTGAACAGAGATGAAATGGCAAATGAGATGGCAAATGGCAAAAAAAAGAAAAACCTGAAGCTAGGTTTTCAAGGGCTGCAAACGGCACAAAAAACACTGATAAGCAAATGGTGCTGAAGTTAACACTCTAGTTGTTAACCAAGCCACTCGACGAACAGGGGTTTAGGGGGGGCTTGATCCCAAATTAATAGAAACGCTTTAAACTGTGCTAAAACCTTTGAGCCTGTGCAGAAGGGGAAACTAAAAGATGAGTGGTGGGACTGCTGGATCCGGCTCCCTCTGAGACTAGCTCTCCTCTTTCTCAGCTCTGTCCTGAGTTCATCTTTCTCTGCTGCTGGTTGCTTAGTAACGGATGTGATCAGTAAACGCTGACTCTGAATATTGGGCCCCATTGTGAAAGTCTTTATGTGAAATTGACCATATATTTTTTTACCTAGACTCATCTCTTCCTCAACATCTTGGCGAGAGGTTTTGTGGGGGGGAGTTAACACAAAACTGGCGGTAACCCACCTCTCTCCCAGCCACGCATAACCTCTTTGTTTTACTAACATAGATGTGTATCCTGGTTTTCAGCTCAGTCTTGTAGCTGGTGGCCTGTTTGTATGTGTATACTCCTAGAAAAGTGTGCTTGTATTGCTCTCCCATGTCAGATCATTGTATTTCACCAATATGGGGGGAGAGGGTGAGTATACTGCTGGTAAGTACACTCTGGGGTGGGAGAAGGGTGCACAGCCTTAAACTGGAGGATCAGGGCGTGGAAGATAGTGATTCAGTAGATTTACTCATATATTTGGAGGAAACCTCTCACGTCAGTAGGGTACTCACTTATGAATCTCTGTGAAGATCTTTAAAGGAAAGAAACCATTCTACAACTAAATAGAAATCGGTAGAGCAGCTGGGGGTCTTGTCTGTAATATTTGTGTGTTTTGGGTAGTATTGGATGATAACCTAGTTGCTTTTTTTTTCTCTACCAGTGCCGTGCGGCAGAGATTCCCCCGGCTCCTTAAACTGGTAGGTCCACGTGCTTTTTTTCCCCCCCATCTTCTCCCTCATTGCCTGTTTCTCATCCTCATTGCATTGTAGTTACACTGGTGGCCACTTGAAAATGAATGCAACTTGACAAACGTGGAATGTTTTGGCTGTAAACCTATTTTATTCTACCCCAGCACCATGTAGTTATACACATTTCTCTCACAGCTCTGCAAACCTCCATCTATTTTAGTGGAGTTATATTTGATACACCATGTTTAGGGTGAGCAGAAACCATATGACTAATAGGTAGAGTGTATATATGCTTGGTAGGGCCCTGTGTCAATACCTTCTAGATCCATGTTTAGCTGCAATGCTTTGCTGTGTCCTCTACATGCTTTGGGACAAATGACTAATAGTTCACCAGTCAACAATCTCCCAACTGAACTTTGTTCATTTTTGTTTTTGTTTATTTTTTATCTGGAAAACCTATTCTTTTCCTTCCATGGCAGAAGTGTGCTTCTTGGTATATAAAGTTAAACTGCATAAAACATTTTTGGTAAAACTGCCTTAGAGAAGGTTTTTGTATGCATGCAGATTGGTGACCAGTCGCCTGGTGTTTTATCAGTCTAACAACCGTGTATCTGTGTGGTTTCCTGGCAGGATGGCTGTGACCTCCCACCACCCATTGGATTCGATGTTGAAACTCCCACTGCAATCCCTCCCTCCAAGGTTCGCCTGTTAGTCCAGCACTCAGAACATTGCATTGTTTTCTCCTGCAGTAGATGCTCTACTTCATATCTTCTCTAATTAATATTAAGGCTTTAGTCAAGCATTGTTGTTGATTAGGCTTCCTATTTAGCCTAAATACTGCCTTGCATTTGTTTGTTTAGGGAAGCTGCTTTGGATCAGATGAAATCAAGGCTCTCATCCTACGGTTTCTGCAGCAGTAAGTTCTAAATGTTATCCATTAGAGATATAATTAAGAAAAAAAAACAAAGACCCTCCTTCCTACTTGTAACTCTGTCTCACCTGCAGCATCATGAGGAAAACCTAACATGTGACTGTGTTGCAGGTACTACAGTATTTATGACTCTGGGGACAGACAGCCCCTGCTAGATGCTTATCATGATGGAGCCTCTTTATCGATCACAACACCTTACACCTCCCAGAACCCCTCCAGGTAGGAGAGCAACACAACATTAAACCTTTTTTTAATGCTGCTTAAATATTAGTCTCATTGGCTGTTTTTTCTTGTCTGATTGCTGATGTTTAGAAGCAGTCTGGGGGAATACTACAAAGACAGTAGAAACCTGAAGAGGATCAAAGACTCCAGTGAGTTACAGTTGTTTATCTTTTGTATTGTCTGATATAAAGACTTTTTTTTTTTAACATGTTTTATGTCTCTTTTAGCAATGAGATTTAGGCTGCTGAAGCACACCCGGCTGAATGTTGTGGCATTCCTCAACGAGCTGCCAAAAACACAACACGACATTGCCTCTTTTACAGTGGATGTAAACACCTACACTGTGAGTTAATGCTTATTCCAGAACCCTTCCAACCACTTTACAATAGATGGCTGATAAATAGGATTTAGATTTGCTGTTAATTCATCTCTAAAAACTTTATAGCTCATTCAAAGGTGTTTATTATTAATTTACTAATGTTCAGGTTTTATTATTTACTCTGTTAATATTCAACATTTCAGATTGTTACTACTTTGTTACCACATTTAACATTTGTAAACACTTTTAGCTTGTAAAATATGTTGAATGCATAATAGACTTTTATGAATAACATAAATTGCTTACATAGTAATTAACATCTGTAAATAATTTATTAGCCGCCTATAAAGAGAGGCTTGTTGTAAAGGGGTACCCCATTTCATATGCTTGATTCTTTTCATTTGTTACTTGTGATAAAACTGCAACACTATTATCCTTTACAGAATACACTACTCTCTTTCACCGTGAGTGGAGTCTTTAAAGAAGGTAATGCCGAAGTCACTGAATATTACATTTTAATGCATCATGAAAATCGGTGCTGAGTTAGCCTTTGTGCTTTCAGTTGTTGTTGATGGAAAGTCCAGAGAATCTACGATGGCCTTCTCCCGGGTCTTCATCACAGTACCAGCAGGAAATTCTGGGTGAGCTTAGAAAACATTGATCCATAGGTTTTAGATTTTTGTGTAAAAGGGAACATTATTTTTGTAAATAAGTGATATTAAACACTGAACATCATCTTTGTTTTTGTTTTCAGTCTGTGCATTGTCAATGATCAGCTTTTCATCCGAATGGCGACAACAGAGGAGATCCGCAAAGCTTTTGTGGCTCCAGCCCCGACTCCATCATCCAGCCCCGTCCCAACCCTCACAGCACCACAGCAAGAGATGCTTACAGCCTTCTCACTAAAGTCTGGCATGAATCTGGAATGGTCACAAAAGTGGGTCTTATTAAAAAAAAAAAAAAAAGTACCTCTGAAAATATGTTTCTCTAAAGGATCTACTAAACATTAAAAAAATTGTTCTACAGGTGTCTGCAGGACAACGAGTGGGATTTCAACAGGGCAGCACAGATTTTCACACAGTTGAAGGTAACGATTCACAACAATTTTCCTTATTTAAAAGTGATGGCATGGTGAAAAAGTTCAAAAGCCTTAAAATGCCTCTCTCCTCTCCACAGGCGGAAGGCAAAATCCCAGATGTAGCCTTCATAAAATAAGGAGTTCCAGTGAAACGTCTGAAATAAAATCAGCTGTAATTTTATTTAATGCCTCTGTTTTCTTTATTGTTCACATCACAATTAGGAGTACTTGTGTTAACTGTTTTACCAGCTAAATGGGAACTTTGTCCTGAAGACTGATAATTAAGCTGTTTTTGTTGTCATTGCAATGTTACTTGATAGTCATTTGTGTAGACACCAGTGAAAATGTTCATTTAAATTTGTTAATCTGTATTTCTTGTACGTTAAACAATAAAATATATTTTGACAAGCGATCTACATTTTAGTTTTCATATTAAAGGGTAAAATCATTGGAAATAAATGTAATGTAATTCACGTTTTATTGATGGGAACATTGCAAGTGTGCATAAAAGTAAAAAAAAAAAAAAAAAAAAGGTTTAAAAAAGAATGTTGAATTAAGATACTTGTATAGTAAATGGCCTGTACTTGTATGGCGCTTTTTCAACTCAGGAGATTTGTAGTGCTTTACACAACATTCAGTCATTCACGCACTGATGGTGTCCTGGGCCTCACTGACAGAAGTAAGGCTGCCATACATTGGCCCTCTGACCACCATCATTAGGCAATGCAGGTGAAGTGTCTTGCCCAAGGACAGGACACGACCCTGCAATTTCAGGGCAAACTCCTACATCCCACGCCACTGTCGCCCTGTATATGGAAGTTGTAAAAAAAAAATAAAAATTTCCATGCATTTTTTGCATATTATTTTACCATATCTTAATATTGAAGGTATCAACACTTGACTAAGAATTTACAAAGAAAACTAAATGTATGATATGGACATTTTCAAATGGCTATTAACCCTTTATAGGGCAAGTTAGCGTTTTTGATCACTTGCATAACCCTTACAAAGGGAGTCCCAGCCGTCCCTCAGTGAAGTCTAGGTACACAAGATCTTTATCCAGCCATTCAGTAGAGATACTGCTACATGGCTGTACATCTTATTTTGATATTTGACCAATTAGATGAGCCCTTGAATTATATATTACCTACCAGAGTTGGGGAAAAAGTTAGGTCAAAATAAAAAAAAGCTAATTGGAAAGTTAAAAAGTAAAGTAGAAAAGTTGATAAGCGTAGTTAACAGTTATATTTTGCTTAAAAACTAAAAATGTAAGTACCAGTATCAGCATTAATCCCTCTAAGGTTATGTTTTACAAAAAATTTGATTCTTTCACTGAGTGTTTTTTAGAAGCACTTTATTTTTCTTAATATATTATATATTCGACCAAGTTGCCGTTTCTTATTACATTGACATTGATTTTTGCCATCAAAATATCCAGATTTTTTTTAATGTTACAAAGGTAATAAGGTCGTGTCCTGGATTCCAGTAACACTATTGGCTTGAAATTTTGATTTTCAAAAGATTTCACAGAGTATCCTCTAAAGGGTTAATGGGGAAAAACCTGGCTACCAGAAAGCTAAGTATTGAAAGTCTGATCATTCTTTTTCATAACATTGATGGAAATCAGAAATCGCCCTGAGTAACATGGCGCCTGTCATGGCCTCTCCCTTCTTCCGGGTTTTGTTATCGTCACGGTGATGCGCTACGTCGCGACGCTTTACCGTTCCATCAGTTGGCGTACGATAACAATAAACAACCCCCGAGACAAGAGAGACGCAGGAACCAGACTTCAGGCTGGAATTCGACAGAAACCAAACCGAACTATGAGCTCAGGGAGCCTCGCTCGGTCGGACTGAGTCCTCTTCACGGAGCGGGGAGCCTCGCTGGCCCTGACACAGCGGATTTGGTAGTTTTTTTTAGCTCTGGGGTAGAAGTGGACTTACTGTTTGTCCCCTTCCTTAGCTCTCTGTAGCTAGCGCAGGCTCATTCCTTGTTCCTGAACACTTAGTTTCAGTTTGTTATGCAGTTTCCAGAGGACTGTATCCGCACTCGTTCTCCGCCACCTCTCTGCTCCCTCTCCCCTCTATCTCTGGCCCTATGTCTCGCTGGCTTTTCCCCTGGTCGGGCTCAATCAAGAAGCGGGCCTGTCGGTACCTTCTGCAGCACTACCTCGGTCACTTTCTGCAGGAGCGGCTGAGCCTGGACCAGCTCAGCTTGGACCTGTACAACGGCAGCGGTGACATCAAAAATATCAACCTCGATGTTTGGGTAAGTTCACGCGAGGTAGCACCGGGCGGCTGCTGTTATTGTGGGAACCTGACTGTTTCGCAACTACACTGAGTTCAACAACAATCTCCAGCGTCATGTTTTTGGCCTAGCTCCTCTTTCTTCGAGGAAGAAACTCATTTTCTCCCTTCAGGATGTATGACACATGACACGTGCTTCTTCCCTTGATATACATATCAATAACTGCTTTATCCAATCTAAGGATGCATTTCTTTCTCATGTTTCTTAACTCATGCTTATTTTTTTTCTCTATTTGACCTTCTTGCAGGCAGTCAATGAGCTCCTGGAGTCTCTTGGGGCTCCTCTGGAGATCGTGGATGGCTTTGTGGGAAGCATACAGGTGACCATTCCCTGGCAGGCTCTCCTGACTGATCATTGCACCCTGGAGGTTTCTGGTCTTCAAATAACATGTCGACCCAAATACAGAACCAGTAAGTTCATTTGAAAAGCAGATTTACTCACTCAGATCCAACTGGACCTCTGGAGCTGAAGGTTTGGCATTGATGGAATAAATTCACACATTATGTTTACACAGAAGCGTAGCCAGTAATGTTTTATAAGGGTGGCCAGGCAATAAACAATGTACACTGTGGGGTGGTCCAAAGCGGATAGGCACCAGAACCTCAGGGTCAATCTACACTGTTCCAACAGCAAAATTAACGAACAAAACATCTATATTTTCTAAATAAAGACAAACTATACTTTCCTACAGCTTTTGCTAACAAATGCATGCATATATTTAAACATCCGTAATCTCTAGATAGAATGTATAGTGGATAAAACTCAGTTTTGAGTTCTGGGGCGTAAATCTTTTCCATTGTCATTACTTACCTACTTGTATCAATAATCAATATTTACAAGCACTAATGTCTACAATAAGTTGATTATTAAGTTTTTATTAAAATTGTTATTTATCTTTGATTTCACTGAAGACTCCTAGATGACTTGAAGAGACACATCATTTTCTCTTTACCCCATATAACACAAAATCTAGTTATGAAACGAGCACAAATTCTGTACTTGATGTTAGTATATTGTTGTGTATACTTAACAACAAAAAATAAAAAGTTTTGAATATTCCACTTGAGAGTATTACTGCTGCTACCATCTATATTAGAGGGAAATAAATGGTAGGGGTGGCCACAGGGGTGGCCAATGAGTGGCTAAGGGTGGCCATAGCCACCCCTGGCCCCCCATCTAGCTCCGCCCCTGTGTTTACATGAAGTAAAGAAAAACTATGGGTTCAAACTATCTTTGAAAACAAAGTGTGAGATTTTTTTAAAACAGAAAAACAATATACTGACTATTATGGTGCTATTATGGTGCAACGACTGCATTGAATCTATAGTTAGTCAGAAGAAGAAATACATAACAGATTGATATAAGCAGTGATTCAGCTGCTATGTGATTTCAGGCTGCTTCTAAATTGTAGTTTTCCAAGTTCAGTTGTTGATTGGAGATCCCAGAAAAAAATGATGACGCTTGGTGCCCTTTTAGCTTCCCTACCACTTTGTTGTTTTTTTTATTTATTATTTATTTAATAAAATATTCTCATATATCTGAATCCATATACCTTTTGAATAAGGATACTATGTTGCACCCTTTCTCCAGCCAGCTGATCATCAGTCTGCAGCATCAAGCTGTAGGAACTGTTTGATACTAGTTGGCAGCTCCTGCCCAATACCCACCGATAGCCATAGATAAGGCTATCGGAAGTATCTAGGCTAAATCCATCAAATAGTTCCTGATTTTTGTTTATTTTACCTTTATCCGCCTAAACTGGGATCATCCAGGTCTGACATCACCAAGTACAGAACAACACATTGGATGCTCTTGTGTAAAACACACTACTGGGCTACAGCATGTTCTCAGGAGTGGCAAGTCCTGCCTCTCTGTCTGTCGATCCAGCATATTAGTTGTAAGGAAAGCATTAGTGTGGCGTTGTCTTTCAGCAGCTGGATTGGGCTCCTTAAATCAAGTAGAAAACAGAAAGACAGAGAGGAGTAATATCTTTAACTAATCAAGATATTTTCACACTTCCATTTGTCAAACATTATTTCTTAACTCATGGGAAAACATCCCAGGAAAAAAAAATTGCTATTAAATTAGGCTGACAGCTTATTGAGAAGCGGTGGATTTAAAATAGGATTTGGCCTATTAATATTGTTTGGGCTGACCAATGAAACATTTCAGTGTATGTTACCATGTAGATCATGTAGCTTAGTAGATACATATAGATATATTTCACATATCAAATAGCTGCTCTTTTTGCTTCCTGTGTGGTGATGAGGAGGCATTTAAAATGTGTCTCTGCTCAATGACTAATTATTTAAATCTTAATGAGATCATGGCAATTTTATACATAAGACTAACAACAGTATTTAATGTATATTTTAACAGATCCAACTATTTGGTTTTGTGTATGGCACTAAATGAAAAAAAATGTAGCAGATGGGTACAGTATGTTTTGAGTGGTGATAAATGAAGACATTATATACAGAGCTGTACATTCTTTTAAATGTGTCCAAAAAGCAAATACCTTTTTGTGCTCAGCTGAGAACTGGCTTGTTAGCTTTAGTGGTGGAGGTGGGCAGGTGCCATAAACTGCCTTCAGATGAAAGACTCTTAGGCTTTATGTGAATTAAAGGTGGTGGAGGATGAGCTGCATTTTGTCATGCTTTGTCCATTCTATCATGGCCTGATAAAGACTTTGTTTGCAAAGGTGCAAAGTGAGTTTTGCTTTTGCTCAATGAGGAAAATATCTTTGCATCTGCAAGTTTTATTTCTAAAGCATGGGACTGGAAACAAAATATGTTGTACTTCAGTGTAATATGTGCTGTTGTTTTCTCTTTCTTTAAGTGTTACAGCATACTGTAAGCGGTCCAAAGGACACTTTTTCTTTTCTGAATTGTTTCTTGTATGCCTGTGCGGGCTGAGCACTTTTATGCAAAGCACTGTCAAAAAAATATATTCTTATTGGGATTTCTGCTGCCAAATCCTGTGTTTTTGTGTTTTCCTGCAGGTGGGAATTGGGAGTCCCAGGGATGGTCGTCCAGCATGACCTCCAGCATACAGCTGGCTAAGGAGTGCCTGAAGGACCCACCAGAGGCGTCCGAGGAGCCACCTGCACCACTGGAGGGCCTTGAGATGTTTGCACAGACTATTGAGACAGGTGAGCGGATCATTGGGTGATGGACTGACACTGGTGTTTAAACCCCTCTAAGCTCTCAGAGGTCAGCATCAATTCATTCATTCCCTGCTAAGTTTTGCCGTCCATCATGGGTTGTTGTTAAGCTTTGAAAAGTCTGATCATGGAAATGAGTATCTTTAACATACATTATTAAAATATAAAATAAATCACATCTTTAAGTATGCAGTACAAAACACTGTAATCATTTCCATCTTCTCATCACATGAAACAACTGTGTTTGCAGTCCTCCGTCGCATCAAAGTCACATTTACAGACACCATCGTCCGCATTGAGCACCAGCCCCCGGACCTGCAAACAGGTGTTGCCTTAGAGGTGCACATCAAAAGGTAAGCTGGTGCTTTTTTATCAACATTCTCTGTTTATATAAAATATTATATATTTATATGAACAATAAAGATTAAAAATGTTTTGTTTTTTCTAGTTTAGTTCACAATTGCTGGATTATATGAAAACTTTAAAAAAATATCATTCAACCCACTGCATTAAGAGAAAGAATATGACAACCTGGGCAGCTCAGATGACATGCTGCGACGGCACCTTTTTATAGATTCATATAAAAGTTAAACATTGTCATCAGGATCTTTATCTCGTACATAACTTTATATCAGACAGCTTTGCTTTATTGTGACCTTTTATATGGAGCTGAAATATTTGGCATAAAATGTAAGAACTTGATTTTTAAATTTTTTAACCCCATTAATCTGACCCTCTTGATATTTCTGACAAGAGACAAAATTTAATGACCAACCAAAATGAATCAGTCTCATCATTTTATCTTTTTTTATATATATTGCAGTTTATGTAAAAATTAATATAGACAAACCTTTAAAAATGTATGGATCTCTCACACAGTTTCACACATGAGCTCTGTAGTCTTTGTTAGAGGCTGAATTTAAATCTCTATAATCAACATTTGTTTTATTTCCACTTAAAGTGAAAAGAAAGTTAACATTTCTGCTTTTATAAGTGCTGCTAAAACAAACCTCTTATATCAGCATTTATGTGGCTGCCAGCGATGAAAGGAAGTAAAAATGGAGACCTGAGGTTGGATTCAACTTCCCTGCTCCTCACTAGATATGAAGCTTTCAAACTGGGTCAGCAGTGAGGTGCTTGATCAGCCTGCAAGCTGCACTAAAGGTGTCTGTGACCAGGACCTTATCAGTGTATCACTTTTACTGCCGTGGATGTAAACATTTGAACGTTACTGGTTGGTCCGTTTGCATTCCTTTAATACGTGATTATACTGGCCTTCCTCCAAGGATAACAATAAAAAACAAGATAATAAAAACTTTCTAGCAGGTTTTTATTTCTTTTTTTTTCAATAGAGACAAAAACACAGAATTATACAGTTTGTGTGAATAAAATACAGTGTTTTGACAAGGGAAAAAATGGTTTTTATCAGAATCAGAAATACTTTAATAATCCCAGAGGGAAATTACTTTTGTTACACGCTCTAGTTACAGTTTTACATGATATATACACACATCCAACTATACAATATAATAAAGATAAAAAATTGGAAAGTCATAAGCTGAACATTATCTGTTGAAACAAGATTATTCAAAATAGTCTCAGACTTGCATAGCCAGTCCCTGTGCCTTGATGACACACGTGTTCCCTGCCTCTGCTGAACCCTTCCTGCTTTGCTGGCTTGTTGACAGAGCTGCTCAGATGAGCGGCCTGGATCTACGGTCAGTGACTCCAGTGCCATGTTGTCAGCTGTGTGTGTGAAAAGGATCAGCGGCGGCAGAGCGCTGCGCTCCAGATGTAAAAAGATTGTAATCAGATTGGATTTCACTTGGGTGTTTTAAAGTCTGCATCTTTAAGCACCTTCAGGGTCTTATATTTTATGTTTTTCTAGTTTTTATGTTACTTGAGTAACTCCTGGCTGAAGATGATGGATCGGATCCAAAACTCTATGATCAGGTGACAAAGCATCTAAATATGAAACAAAATTGGCCTCTCATTTCACTTTATATTTAACGACCACCCCACTTTTAAGACCCGCACAGGCAAATGAGCTTCCAAGTAAAAAAAAAAAAATATATATTATTTTCTTTTTTCCTATATATATTGTAGATGAATATTTGATTTGCAAACAAAGTTCAGAAAAAGAAGATAATTGAGAGCCTTTGTTAATAAAAGTATATCAATAGGTGCTTTAAAATGAAAATATATCACACAAACCCCAAACCCCTGTGAACTAGGGATGTCCCGATCAAATTTTAGGCCTCCGATCCTTATCCGATCTTTAACCTCAAATCTGACCCGATTTCGAGTCCCAATCCGATAGTTTCTGTTTAGTAGTGAAATTGATAAAACTCAAATATATTTTGAGCAAGTAGCTCAACTTTTTATTAGACTAATATTTGATCAAAAAGCATTACTTTTATTATTGTAAATCCAATGAATTAAAAAATCTTACCCAGAATTACAGTATTATCAAATAGAAAGTGCTATCCAAGATCCACTTTTAGCCTATAAGTGCTTAATAAAGGCTGCCATAAAGTCAATAAAAATAAAGTGCACTGACCACTGAGCAAATTTAAAATGCCCTTGCTCATCTTAAATGTGGTGTAAACAGATTGACATATAGTCACAATTCAGTAACTGAATTTGAAATATCTCAATCCAACTTAAAAAGTAGGTAAAAAGAATTCAATCAAATGAATTCAAAACTTTAGGACTGCAACTTAAAAGTAGCATGATCACAAAATTAACAAGACCATTCTTCAGTCATGAACAAACACGTACATAGCCCTAAAAACAACTAAACAACCAAACCTGAATACTTAGTTATAATAACCACAATGCTCTATCCAGTTATGCCTCACTCACATATCTTAATTCAGTCAAGTTGTCAAGAGCAATAAATTCAACCAACCTTTCTGGGATCTTCTTTGCTCTATTGTTCTCCTCATAACGTCCAGTGTTTGTTGCTTTGCTTTAATAACCTTTCCTTCTGCAGCTTTACAAAACGCTTCATACACATTGTCATGTTTTGTCCTCAAATGACGGATCAAGTTCATGGTGTTAAATGTAGCTCTGCTGCTACCTCCTCTTGAAATTGCCATGTTGCAGACATTTTTTTTTTGTCTATTCCCATGTGCCGTATAGTAAAGTGTCATTGTTATAAGGACATCCATGTTTGTGCTTTTCCAGCCTGGAGTATTTTGATGAAGCTGTGAAAGATCCATCTACCCAGACTGCCGTGCCTGTCGACATCCACCAGCCGCCCGCCTTTCTGCACAAGATCCTCCAGCTCAGCGATGTTAAGCTGTTGTATGACATCATCGGAGTTGTTCAGGTGAAGGAAGCCTCCCCTTTAAGTAATAGGGTTTGATAAATCTTATGGATTTTTCAAGCATAGTGTAGAGATGCAAAGTTAATTTTAAAATGCTCAAAGTTTTCCTTAATTTCCCAGGGTCCTCTCGGGGAGGTGCATCTCAATGCCACCACAGCTAGTGAAGGAGAAGAAGATGAGGAGCATGAGGAAGAGGACAAAGCCAAACCATTGAAAACCACTCTCTGCCCCCCCTCTCAGCCGCTGCTTATAGGACGCTGCTCTGGTTTCATTGAAACCACGGTGAAGATCAAGCAGAGCGACTTGCTGCCTGGGCCAAAGGTGTGCGTCTCCCACTATAAGACAGATACGTTCAGGAAAATGGCTCCTCCCTCATATTAACGGCTCTGTCTTCCTGCTTATTAGTTGGAATTGGACGGGAAGGTGGGATGTGTCCACCTGCTGCTGTCCCCGGATCAAATAACCCACCTATCAGACCTCCTGGCAGCCCTGTGCATAGACATAGGTACAGCTTCTCTGTCACCATCTGCATCACACAGGATCTCTGATTTGACTGTTATGATTTGTTTTAATCACTTGCTTTGTATAAGTCTAGTAAATCATCTAAGTATTGTAGCCCTCAAACATATTTATGCCTTTTTAATTTTGCTATACTGAACCCTTGGAGCTCTGTTTATTTTATTATCTGACGCACTGGTGCATATTAATGCATAATGTTGAAGTGGCAAGGGAAGGGTATTTAGCTTTGAAGGTCTAATAAGGACATCTTGTGTTTGTATCTGACCACTTCTCTGTCCATTTCCCCTTTTAGGCCTTTTGGTATATTACTACCAGCTTTGCACGTCATCTTCATTCTTTACAAAATGGCCGAGTCAGACTGAGTGGAAAGCATCAATTAACACACATTTTAAAGGAATAGTACACCCAAAACATGATTAGCCTTCATTTTCTACTCACCCCCATGCTGAACAACACTCTGGAGTACTTTTTTGATATCTCAAATGCATCTGGAGATCTGGGAGGCTTCTTGCTGTCTGCTGACATTCAAATAATGGAGGTCTATGGCCCCCGAGGCAGAAAGGTCCATAAAAGTCCACAAAAAACGTGTCAATATTCCTCCTTACTGCTCGTCCAATGTATTCCAAGTGTCCTGAGTGGGTAGCGTCCATAATTTACTCGAAACAAAGTCATTTAGAATGTTTTTAGAGCATAAACAGTAGTGTATAGGATTTCCTAAAAGCGCGCGCCTGCGAGTTCACAACGCTACGGAAACCGCGGCAGACCAAACCAGATGAAAGTGCGCATTCAGCGTCTGCTCTGCCGATAATGCAAGCGTAGAAGAAGAAATGTGCTGTTTACCTGTGCAAAGAAAGAAACACGAAAGAAAAATGTCTGAGGACTTCAGTGTTGAGGAAGAGCATGAGTTCTTTGCCGAGCTGAATGCGCACTTTCATCTGGTTTGGTCTGCCGTGGTTTCCGTACAGTCGTGAACTCGTGAAACTTTCCAGCACATTAACCCTTAGCTCTCTGTTTTAGAGCTTGGTCTGCAAAACATCAGGCCTGCCTGGAAGAGCTTTGTTGATACTGACTAGATCAGACACGCCTTACTTATCAGATTATTTGTGTAAAAACAAAGTAGAAACATAAAGGCTTTTTTGTGATTAGTACTATTGTTTTTCCAGTTATGTTCTCTTTTCTATCAGATTGCTACCTTAAAATCCATTTAAGTTTGCTACGGCAAGAGACAAATGCATGGAAACATTTCAAAGGAATTTTTTTGAGTTTTTACGGCACTAGTGGCTCGTTTTTTTCCGATAGTAGGCTGACAGGAAGGGGGGTATGAGAGAGGGGGAGAGACATGTGGCCAAGGACTACAGGTCGGATTCGAACCCGGGTCGGCCACGTCGAGACCGTCGTTCACACTAACTTCAACTTTATTGGTTGAGCTTTAGTAATACATCGCTGGTGAAAAATACCTAAACTAATCCATTCTGATTTAGTTTGTTTTTCTGCTGCTCATCCAAACCAGTCAGGTCACTGATGCAATAAAATATCTGTATTTGAATCTGTCTTAACCTGAACTTTGATATGGATCAAGGTGGTGTCAACAAACTTTTGAAATTAATTGGTTCATAGAGGGAGTTTTTCTACTGTTTCTCTGTTTTGTCTGTGCTTTGTTCGCTAGTATAGATTGTTTTGTTTTCTTTTAACCTCAGAGCAAGAACAGACGTGTGGTGGAGCGAGCAGTCGGCCATTAGACTCCGAGGACCTGCGATTGATTGAGGAGGACCTCAGTAAGCAGCTGGGATCCAGTCCCAAAGACCCGGAATGGGACAATGATCCTGACCTGGATGCCTATGTCACCAGTCTGGAGAACGGAGGTACAGAGATCAGGGGTTCAGCTGTGATTTAAATTCATGTCAGATTTATACACAATATAGTAACAACAGGATGATTATCACAGAGACATGTTTTTAATGTTAAAAAAAGATGTTAAAAATGTTACATGGTTCTCTGATTGATGTTTTTTTTTGTTTTTTTTTTGTTGTTTTTTTTTAACCAATCACAGTTTTCTGGATTGTTTTTGATGATTAGAAAAGTTAAAATATATTCATCCAAAAAAAAGAAAAGCTATCCAGAATATGCCTGGTTTTCTGTTTAGGTAAAGTATTTGTTCAATATTTCATACATGTTTACTGATATCTTCTGTTTTTAGAATTTTTTTCTCAGCTTTAAAGATTGATCAAATTTTATGCTCTGACCAATCGAGTATGAGGAAGCAAATAGAAAAAGTTTTTCAAAGGGTTAATTCATTCATCAGGGAAGCGCTTTAGCTCAATGTTATATTTAAACTCCATGTTGTCTGTAACTGTGAGGAAGGGCGTTTTTGTGTGACTGAGATGAATTTCACTCAAAAAGCTGCGTCTTCATCCCCAAGCTAAAGAAAATTCAAGGATGTTAGAAACGGTCTAGCGGCCCTGAAAGGTTAAAGACGTTTCTAAGTTTGCCTCAATGAGAAGCTGCTCTTAACACAAGGAGAATCATTTGAACAGAAACATGATCCAGACCAACTATTACCCCTAACGACACCTCTTTCAGAGACGTAGACCAGTATCCGGTATTGCAGGCTAACAAAGAACCCAAACGGCTGCCCATTCCTACGTGGCGGACACATTCTTCCGGTCCAATTTGTATGTTTTCTAAGCCAAAACAAGTTTTTGTTTTTTGTCCACTCTATAAAGCCTCAAACTCATTTCTGACATTTTGAATGGAAAAAGCTTCCTGGATGAGAAGCGAAATGTCTTCAAACTTGGAAACTAAGTCCAGTGGTTGCTTTTTTTTTTTTTAACTTTTTTGGAAACATCAAAGACTTCAGCCCAACGTTACTAAGAAAATTGTATAAAGGTTGGCCTTGGTTTGACCAAAAAAAAAACATATTTTTATTACCAAGACATTTTGATGGGGGGTAAAGTACAGCTTTTTGTAAGGTGTGCGTCCCATTGTGTTTGACCCAAAACTAATACCGGTATTAGATTTCAGAAATTGGAAATAACGCCGACAGGGTGCTTGTTGTAACGATTAGGTGCTTGCTTTGCTTCCTCAAGTAGTTGGAACCTCCTCAGATTATATTAGACAATGTTGGACCTTCAGTGGGTGATCCACACTGGAGACGATCTGAAACAAACCACCAAGTTCACCTCTAAATAAATCTTAATAAATCTCCAGAAGGTCTCGACTAACAGAGAAGCTGTGCTATGACCCAGCGCTGATTACCACCGATGGTCGCTTACTGGATTATTAGGATTTAGGGGAATTTTTTGTGTTTTTTTTCACATTGAACCAAGTTAAATATAAGTGTTTCCTATATTTACTGAGTTTATTTGTTGTCTTATATTAAAATAATTTAAACTTTGCTGCCTCTCATTGTGAGGTCTGTGTGTACACTGCAAATATATTCACTTTAAAATTTGTGTTTGCACAGAAATGTTTTACTCAATGGGCCCTGCAGGGATGAGCAGCAGTGTTGCATCTACTCGCTCTGGCAGCGAGTTGTCAGACAGCGACATGGAGTCCTCCACACACAGCCTGACCAGCCTGACACACCCAGCTGCTCTGTCAGCGCAGGTATAGTTTTGTTTGTTTTCATATGTAGATTAAATCCTGACTTAATATTTCAAGAAGTAAAGTGTTAAATAAAGTATTTTATTCTTTGACTTTATTGTTGGTATTTGATAAAAAAATTACGTCCTTTCTTTTGATTTGTGGTTTTCTTCTGCCAGGGCCTGATGAACTGCCCTAGAAGATATCCTGTAGCAGGATGCTTATCCAGTCTGCCACATGCCACCAGGATCAGAGGTAAAGTCACTAGTAGAGACATTTAGATCAATGACAAACCTAAAGGAAAATTCCTCCTTGTTATATGTTTGTATTAAGCATAAGCGATGGTGTTTTTTTTCTTTCCTGAACTGTGGTTTCTCATGTGTCCAGGACGCTCGCACAGCGGCCAGGCAGAGCAGCTCAAACCCGAGGCCTTGCTGCGTCTGACCCTCGGTGGGCTCACCCTAACAATGCTGCAGGAGGACCCACCTTCGGACGGACCCTCGTCTTTAGCTCAGGTGTCTCAGGAGTTCTTCCAAGGGCTGCTGTCCTTCAAGGACAAAATGTTCACCAACAAAAACTTCCACCATCTGAGAGACGGCTTTGCCGCAGCCTGTCCGCTCTCCCACCTCAGGTAGACCCTGTTTCTGTAAGGCTGGAGTTCACATAAACCTTATCAGATTTAGTTGCTCTGCCACTAATGGTACAGATTTAGGGAAAATGGATGATTAGGTGGTGTTTGAGTTCTCAGTATCCTCCTTCCTCTGCTAGGCTGACAGGGACGGCCGTGCAGGTGACGTGTGAAACGCGCAGTGGGAGGCGCCGGTGTCGGGCTGTGACCTCTGACCTTTCCTTCAGCAGACTGGAACTGTTGGAGTGCCTCTGGCAAGATGGAAAATCTCAGTATTGTGAGGTACTAAATATCCAGAGTTTTTTTTGTTCCTCTTTTTGGGGTAGGAGCAGTTTATGCTCTAAAGTTTGCTTGAGCCTCATGTATAGCTGGTCATCTGGGCATTTTCAGACTTCCTGTCTTTGGTCAGCAGTCTTCTTTTCACAATGAGCTACTTGCAGGGTTGTTATGCTATCTACAAAATGTTTTTAATATTTTTCAGATATCAATATAAATAACAAATAAATTTGGAAAATAATCTTTTTCTCTCAACTTCATTACTTGTCATATTGTGCAGGTATTGCTTTTCTTTTTTTTAATCCATTTTCTTCTTGTCTTCTCATTTTGAATCTAAGCCTATTTAACAGCAAAACATAGAATAATAAACTCACAAGTCTTTGAAATTGACTTATCTGTAGCATAATTTGTATTTAGTACTTTATAGTAATTTATTTTTGTCCCTATGCAGCTACTTCAGTTCCAGAAAGCTGGACTGTTTACAGCCGGAGCTGCAGCCAAACCATGTGCTCAGCTACACTACAGCCTCACTGAAAAACACCTACGAAAAGTAAGGCTTGAGCTTAAAAATGTTTCCACAAGGTTTCATTTGAATATTTGATGTCTGCATGACTATCTTCTCCATTAAAAACCCTCCCCAGACATTCCTGGCACATTTTAAAGCAGAAACCCCCCTGGTATCATCCTGTTATTAGAAACTGAGTCTGAGAGAATCATCACAATTTATTCAGCTGAAAAGCCTATTTTGAAATCAGGGTTTTAATTTCTCTCTGAGTGGAAAAGTACAGTGATTTCAGGGGGCATCAAAGTAGAATCTCAACGAGACAACATTCTTGAGCAAACTGCCTTCCTCTCTGCTGACTCCATCACTCAATATGCTGAGTCATCAGATGCCTCCCATTAAATGTTTTGAACATGTTCTCAGCACATGGGTGCGGCAGTGAAATTATACTGTTATCCTTGCAATCTTATCATGTTAGATATCGTCCTGAGATGAAGCTTTAATGAAACAATATGAAGTTTTCTCTACTTTCAGCGGAATTAAACTTTATTTCTCCTCTACACGTGGTGATGCCAGTGATCAAGGTGTACTGTGGTCGTATAAATGTACAGATCCAACTGCTCTAAAAGTCTCCTTGATCTTGTCCCTGTTATTTAAAGTCCTGCTTATTAGATCCTGGAAAAAGCTTTAGAGAGTTATTGCAGATATATGGAGTTAAATGTTGGAGAAATTATGCATTTTAATGTTTAAATAAGAGTTTGAATCAAGTTGCACATTTTCCTTGAAATTTTTTTTCATAAATTTAGAAAAACTGTGCTTTGTTTACTCAACATGAAGAATCTCCTACCAACCCATGCAAAGCTGTAATGGTTTCTGAGATTGTTAAACCTTTCCATTGAAGTAACTCCTTGCTATTCTTTGAACCTCCAGTTGATTTCACCTAATACCCAAGCTTAGCTTAGCTTCTGTTTTTGCTGGATCCTGAAGCTTTGGGTTTTCCCTATTAATGTGTGTTTTTGTTTTTTTGGGGCGTTCATTTGTAGGGTAAACAGCGTGTTGTGCGGCGGGACAGCGTGGTACGAGTAGAGCTGGCAGAGCTGAGCGCTGAGCTGGACCTGGACATCCTCAGCCGCCTGGGGAGCCTGAGCAGAGCGTTCAGCCACTGTCCAAGCCAGAACTCTGGACCAGGACCCATGCAGGTTGGACTGCCAATTACTGTGCTGCTTTTTATATACACAAGTAAAACAGACCAAAAACCCTATAAAATGAAGATCCAACCCAGAAAACACAGAGTAGAACACAGGGAGCTTCAAATATCAGCATTTATGCATGCTCCCCTTTTCTTTTGTTAACCGCTAGCATTTAAGACCACTAAGTATCTTAAACTAGATCACTGAGCAGAGTAGCATAGAGGAAGGTCACCTCTCATAATTCTGTTTAAAGGGAGCCGGTGTGGTTATCTAGAGTCATGAACTATTGTGTCATCACCACAAAGAAAACCCCAAACTATTAAGATGTTTCTCTGAAAACATCATTCTTTCACGTCTGACTGATCCAGCTTCTGCTGACATAAACATTAACAGAATAGTCTGGTTTAGAGGGAATCAGCAGTTCATCCTAATATCAGCCTTTCGGCTCCATAATAAAGCTGCGGTCTGCTGTGATTACAGGGTTGATTGTGACCGAATCTTTGCTTAGAATCCAACTTCAGAACAATTTCTGCTCTGAAAAAAACTTTTTTTTTTCTGTCTTTTCAGACCCAGAGTATCGAGCTCTGCTCCTCCTTCACCCTCATGTCCCCAAACGCTGTGCTCAGACTTCGGTTCCCCATCCCAGACCTGCGACCTCTCCCGCTGCGCCGGCCGCCGTCTCAGAGGGCAGTGAGGGAGGAGACCTTGGTGTTGGAACTGACGGAGCTGGAACTGAAGCACCAAGAGGCGCCGGATCTCCAGAGCGAGCAGTCGGCACCAGGGCAGCCCTGTCTCACCCAGCTGCTGGAGGCCACTTTCACAGATATGCATGGTGGGAAGCACACAGGGTCTGGGTTAGGCTTTTTTAAATTTATTTTTAACATCATTATGCCATTGTCCCTCTAATTTTTTCCAGTAATTGGTTTCTGCTCTACGGGTTTCATAAGCTCAGATTTACACTTTGATGATTGAAACCTTTCATTTACTTTGATTATACTATAAAACTCCTCTTAAACGGATCCAGGTTCCTCTGGATGGCCTGTTTCCATCACAGCAGCACCTCTAGATTGTGTGTGTACCTACCTTAAACAAGTTACATGTTTCCTTTTGAATTTGATTTATTGTTTAATATGAGAAATAAATGGTAGTTCTGTTCAGATATAACTTGTTCATCATTGTCAAACTACTGGTGTCGGCCTTCCATTTAAATGGCTTATAAAACGGCATGCAGCTTGAATTTAATAACACTCTAGCCTCTCTAACATTAATCACCAGTGGAACCAGGCTGCTACACATTTTGTAGCTGCATAGGCGTCATGACTCTAACACCATCATTACCTCATATTTCCACCACAGCTCCTGAATTTACAAAGGCTCTATTTGGATTTCACAGCACTGACCTGATGCTAACACTGTTTATTTAACTGCTGCACTACGTAGACCCACTGTCTCCACTGATGAGGATCAACTGGCCTTAGCATGCCAGATGCTTGGAGCTGATCAAACTCACATCAGAGGAACCTGTTTTCTGAATAATTGAACTCATTCACTTAAAATGCAGCTTAAATTTACAACCCAAGAGAGTCAGAAAATGTGAAAATCAAAACATAAAAAGAAAAAAGGCAAAAAAAAAATGTACATTTCATCCTGATGCACATATATTTTGCTACCTGTATGCTTACAGCTTGCTTGTATGAAAATTTAATCTCTGATGAAATTTCCTGTCAGTACTCTTATTTAGAAAAACTTATAACACATTTTCTGGTACGGTACATTAAAACCAGGCATGATAACCGACATCTTGCATGCAGCCAAGTCAAACATATGTCTGTTTATTCAGATTGTTAGCAATTAAATTAAAATTCTAATTCAACCAACAGAATAACTGATTTAATTGACAGATATATTGTTTAACTAATAAGAAGAAATTGTTCTTCTAAACAGATAAGTTAGTTTATGTTGTTCTTTTATCCATTTAATTTTCATGTGAAACTATTGATGTTTGTGACATTAATGGTTTTCTGTTAATCATTTCCTGTTTTATTCTTATAGATGTTTGATTAAAAATCAGTTTGGGAAGATTTCAGACCCTTACAGCAGATTTGCTGATAGATCTGCTTGGTTGAATGGTCTAATTGATGATGAGCCTGATAGGTGATTTGCAGAAAAAGACTAATCCACTAGGAGGCGCTGGTATCATTGTCATATTACATTGGGATTTATCAAATCCAATGAAAAATTTTACAAATGAGCAAAGTGTGAGTCCAGTGAGCAGAGGTTTTTACCGATCATTCGCTTATGTGGATATGAAAGAAAATATGCATGCAAAGGAAGTCTATCTGTTTAAGGAGAAAATGAATCAAAGATTCACAAAATGTTCTACTGTTTGTTAAAAGTCTGATTGATTTCTAATCTCTGTCTTCCTATTCCGTTTCTTGTACATCTTTAACTTTTGAAATTCTTCCCTAAATTGGAGATTTTTCTGCTGGAGGCTTTTTTACATATTTACCCTGTTGTGTTTCTGCAGGATCGTATGAGGGATGGGAGGGAGGCTCTTTTCCCTGCATCAGAGTGATGAAAAACCTCGACTCTGTACCAAGGTTTGTCCCTGTGATAATGACAATGTTTTGTGTGATGGTGTGAGTCTGCTGTGGTAACAAAACACTCACATTTTACCAAAGCTGTTTCTCTGAGGATTTTTATCCAGGAACAAGTACAAATGGGTAATGTTTTTTTCAGGAATTCAAATAGAAAAAAGAAAACACTGCATCTTTTCAAAAAAATGAAACAAGAACTTGGGTCAAGATGAAACAAAATATTGGGTCCCACATGCTGTAAAACGTCTCTTTCTACAGGATATCGGTGCGTGTGCGCGGAGGTGAAGCTCAGGGCGCCGCAGCAGGTCTGAGTGGGATGAACCTGGGCCTCATGAAGGATGTCTCAGCCAACTTTTTTGAAAGCCACTGTGAATTTAGTGAGAAATCCAGCTCTCCGTTTTCTTCAAACCGCACCATGTTTGAGACGGAGGAGGTGTGCTAACACTCAAAAAAGGAGAAACACTGACCCACTGGCCTTCTGGTTAGTAACTCCATCCTCTTCTCTTAAATCAGATGGTGATTCCTGCCGACCCGGAGGAAATGCTCCAGTTTCAGGAACAGTGTGTCGCTCAGTGTCAGTGTGCGGTGGACATCAGCCTTCCTCTGGCTTACATCCTCCTGCCCAGCAAACAGGCTTTCCAGAGCATCTACAACAGGTGTGACCCAGCTACCACACAACGTGCTCAGTGCTGCATATTTAGAGATTAAATTAGATTAGATGAGCTTTATTGATCTCACAGTGGAGAAATTCACTTGTCACATATTGGCATAGAAGTCAAAGAAGGTGCAAACAAGGAGGAAAAAGGTGCATTAAGAGTAAACCATAAACAATATATATACAGTATATCCAGGTATATACAGTATATCAAGATATTTAAAGCTATATTGCTTCCTATAGCCGTCTTATATTTTATTCCCAAGCAGCTTGACTTTCTCAATATGGTCGTCCAATTTTTTAAGAAAGATTCTGGAATATTTTTTGACATGCGCTTTAAATTCTTAAGCTAGATTTAAGATAAATACTGAAGATAATTGACTGTCGTTTTTCCACCAACATGATGCTTTCTAAAGCACTCAGGGGAAACCTGTCATTGAGTGTATTTGCAAACATTTTTTCAACTGTAAAAATATTTGTTTGCATCCCAATATCAAGACTCTATTGAGATTTTATGAGTTAGATCAAAACAAAGAAGTAACCGATTGTGGAAGCAAAAAAACAAAAACAAAAAAAACAAATGTTCAAAACAAAAAGCAATCATGAAAGATTAGAATCTTAAACTTGTGGCATGTGTTTGAATCCATCCTCCTCTGAGTCCAATAAGTGTTGAATGATCTTAGCATAAATGCAGCTGTTCTGTTTCTGGCCTTGTTAGGTGATGGTTAACATCTTAAAGACCAATAATCACAGCAGACAGTGCAGGGAGGCAGATGTGATGTGTTTAATGCAAAAGAATGAAAATAGAAATTTAATAATGGAGCATAAAGGCAAGAAGAGCATTAATGAGAGAATCAGCTGTGAAGTTCCTGGTAACTGTTCACCTAGATGCAAAGTGACCTACAGCACCTCTTAGGTTTCCTGCCTTTTAGATACTGTTTATCTGCTGCAGATAGTTATTTTCAAGTATCATTGGGCCTTGCACTCATTTGTTTGCTATTTCTCTACTTTAGCCATTTCCAGCATAGTATTCTGCCAAATTCTTGTAGAAGAAGACAGAAAATATTAACTTAGCCAGAGATTGAAGAATAATGTTTATCTTCTAAAAAGCATTAAGTCATTGATCAAGAGCTCTTTGAATGATTTGCAGTAAATCTTGCTTTTTGAAGCTCGTTTTGCTCTGTGCTGGATATTTAAAGCTAAGTTGCCTTTCTAGTCTATTCAAGTTTTCTTTACTGGCTTTAAATCATGATTGAGAAACACTTTTCAGTTCCTCGTCCTCCCCTTTTATTCCAAAAGGATCAATAATGACCTCTTGATGTGGGAGCCGCCCCCTCCTCCTCCCCCCTCGACCCACATCCCCGACCAGAGCCACCGTCTCTACGACGAGTTCCAGCTGTGCAAGTCCGCCTTCAGACTGGGCAAGTTTTTTTAGCTCGGGTGGAAAAAATGTGATTCTGATGTAGATTTATGACAAACAATAACAGTTGTGGTGCCAAAACATCTAGTATTGGCTTTTGTATTGCTTTTGGATGAAAGCGTTCTCTTCACTCTCTGCCACAGACTCTGACTCAGAGGAGGATGAGCCTCCGTTTTACTTGGCCAGTGAACCATCTGGAAGGATGCAGCCGTCAGCTCCTCTTCCCAGCCACAACCTCAGCCTCCTCTCACTCACTGTGATTATCGGGAAAGGTCGCCTGCAAGCCAGAACTGACACGAAGGTGAGCCAGGAGGAAGATGAATTCAGAGGAGGGCACTGATGGGTCTAACTGCATCAGATGCATAATAGCATTTATGAACTGAAGTGTAGATGTCAGATGGTGGGAGTGAAGCCTGGTTTAAAGCTCATGTTGTAGCTTTCCTTTCTAAGCTGTGTTTTTGTTGTTGGTTTTCAGTGTGAGGAGGATCAAACTCAGGGAGAGATTGTGCTTGACCTGGAAGGAGGGAAGGTTTTTAGTGTGGCGCAGCATCAAAACGTTCCCAACCTCAACTTCCTGACTCTGGAGAGCAAACGAGTGGAGCTCTATCATCAAGGTGCTCATTGGGGTCTTATTTGTGATTCTTTCCATCATGAGATAATTCCCTCTGTGTTAGTCTTCTATCAGGGCTCCTATTTCTAGAGAAGTTAAATTAAAGCATTTCACAAATGTGGGGGGAAAAAAGAGGATAAAGTCTGTTGGAAGAAATGTTTTTTTAGACCTTGTTCTCTGTTTAGTTATCTTAAAGCTTCATCCATCCAATTTTTTGTCCATCTTACTATCATTCATCCACCATTTGTCCATTTTTCTTTAATTTGTTTTAAATTAAAGATAAATTGACAGATGGGTGTAATCATGCTGTAAAATGTCTGAAAAGGTCTAACTTTTACACTTGGAAAAAATTTGGAAATTGGACATGAATAATATTCAGGAAGTTATCTGGATTTATTTGAGCTGGGGATTATGCATCCCTTTGTGACTCGTTGGAAATATTTTTCACCCTTTAGCTGAGGTTAGAGATGCCTCCGTCCCACAGAGGTTGGAGATGCCCAGCTTCACTCCACCCAAACACTTGGACCCTACCATCTACCCCACAGAGGTGGGAGTGAGCAGTGTGAGAGGAAAAGAAGGGGAGCTACAGATGTTGTCCACGGCCATCAAAATCACGCTGGACCTGCAGAGGAACGTCAAGGTTGGCCCCCTTTTCTTATGGACCTGCTTCATGTTTCTGCTGCCGACTTGGTTTTAGCTTCAAGAATACATTTTTTTTGTCTCTCTTCCCAGGAGTTCCTGGTTGCTTTTCAGCTGCAAGGTGCAACCATGAGACATTACATGACGCAGACCAACCAGAGCTGGCATGAGCAGGTGAGCTAATTTTTTCACTTAAGTCCTTCCACATCAGGAATTTTACTAATGTAATCTTTACTTAATTGAGTAGTACATCTGAAAAACAAAACAAAAAAACATGAGAAGTCTGAATTCATATCAGTGTCTGGAATTCAGACATTTAACCTCAGGAAAGCTGGCCTCTGCTGAGCTGAAACAATGTTAATCTGAGATGTTTTATTTTCTCTGAGGCAGAAGGGAGCAAAGACAAACCCCAGACTGTTTCGAAACACTTGATCGAGGTGTAATTATACTTGTTGCTGTAATTAGTCCACTTTCCATCTGGAGACACTTCTTGCCAAAGTTCTACTCAGTAAAATGTGATTTAATGTGACAGTTTTTATGCAGCCGGTACTATAATTGTAGTTGATACTGTTGGTTTTACCTCCTTGTAAAACCATTAAGAATGTCTCTCATACACCTGTTTGTCTTCGTTCCCTTCAGCTGATTGACTTCCTGGACGTTATTGACGACCCAATTCTTGGATACACGGCACCCGCCGTCATCACGGTCCTCCACACACACCTGGCCACCTGTGCTGTAGACTACCGGTATGGACCTGAACAGCGGTCTCTGATCTATTCTCTGCTTTATGGTTGTTGGCGGAATCATGGAGCCATGGTGTTGGTGTTGGTCTCAGATGTGCTGTATTCCTCTCTTTTAAATGTTTACCTCCTAGGCCTCTGTATCTGCCCCTGAGAGTCCTGTTCACGGCTGAATCCTTCTCCCTGTCCAGTAACATCATTGTCGACACCGCCACTTTTCACCTCAGGTACCAGACACAGCAGACCGAACACAGCCGTTAGAATGACGTCGTCTAAGAAGCTCTAGTTAATGTTTGACATGTCGTCCTCAGATTCATCTTAGATAACTCTGCTCTCTACCTCTCTGACAAATGTGAGACTGACATAGTGGACCTGAGGAAAGGTAGGACACGCAGTTAATCCACAATGCATGATGTCAATTTTTCTAGATTTATGTGATGAAAACTATTCAAATTAGGGCAACCAATCCTATTGTGTCATCCTTCTTCAGTCGCATTGAAAAGAAAGTCAACTTCTGCCAGTTCTCATGTTTTATGTCTCATTAAAAGCCACTGGTCCTGATTGAATTAGAAATGATTTCAATCCAACTTCAGGATTGGAAAGTTTTAAATAATGAATTATGATTCATCAATTATTGAAATATTCGCATCAAATTTAGCATCCGATACTCAGTAACTGGAGAATACAGACTGTAAAACACGCCGAGCTGAATCAATGATACACTAAAAGCCGGAATTTAACCAAGACAGTTCAATGAAATATTAACATATTACATCTGAGATTAAAAATGAGCTATTCTAATTCTTATTCTAACATTATATTCTGCAAAAAGTTTACAGCTCAGCACATTTTGTGATCCAGGTTCTTTCCACAGGAAATTCACTGTTGAAGAGATTATTAGAATAATGGTTAGATGAAGTCCTACACACTTTATATGTCATTATTTAACAAACAAAGATGGCACTAAAATGGGAAAACGTAGATAATATTAATCTAATCTCCACCACATGATCTTTGACTTGTTTTTATGTTGCATTTTTTTTCCAGCTTCATTGCTGATGTGTTTTGATTTATTCTCCTCTTGATTAACAATTTTCAGGCAAACTGCATAAAGACTTGCTCAGGTTATATTAAAGGAAAACCCTCCAACCCAAACTAAAACCTGTGTTTTAATCTTAACGCTCCTCCGCTTTAAAACGAAACAGAAATGAAAAAGTTATTGTAGATTAGATTAAAAGAGTAAGAAATAGAATGTAAAGATAAACCACCTGTTGTTTGTTTGTTCATGGTAGATTATGTTTGTGTCCTGGACATCGACCTCCTGGAGCTGGCCATCACCACATGGAAAGGCAGCGACAGCGGGAAGCTCGTGAGTTCTCCTCCATGTCCTTTACCCTCCTGTTTTTCAATAAAATTTTACTGTTAGCCCCCCAAAGGAAAAAAAAAAAAAAAAAGCCACGTCAGCCAGTAAAAAGGTAAAGAAACATTATAATTAAGTTTAAGGTTCATGAAAAACTCTATAACAAGCAGTTGGCCACATGTTTATAAAGTGTTTATTTTGCCATAATTTAATTTCTCTATAATGACAATGAAGGATAGTAATTTGGCCGACCTTTTACTCTCAGTTGGACCTGAAACCAAAATGCTTAACGAGGTCTCCCGCCGCAATGATGCAGCTGTTCTCAGTCAACCAGTCAAGGCTTGTGTATTTTCATTATGTAAAGAAACATTTTAGTTTATATGGTCTAGTTTAGCTGAAGGAACTTTATGAACTGTCAGCGTGTGAGTACTGACACACGTACTAAATGAAAAATGCACACAGACTGAATTCTGGGTGCTGGTGGAGCTGCAGAGCTAATTTCCCGCTCCCACCACAGCGGATGAATGAGCGATCGGGTCTTTAGTCTCTCCTGATAATCCAAAAGGTTGTGGTTTATTTCTGGTAATGGATCAATCCACAGTTTCTGTCATGGCTGCTCCTCTTGTGTTTCAGTCCCAGCCTCTGTTTGAGCTGCGCTGCTCCAACAACGTGGTGCACCTCTACACCTGTGCCGATTCCTGCGCCGCCTTTGTCAACCTACTGCAGTATCTGGTCACCCAGGGAGACCTGCACCCCCCGCCCCGCCACACCTCCCCTACTGAAATAGCTGGTCAGAAATTACCGGTAAGACATTCATTTTATTTACCAAATAAAAATGTTTTTGTGTTTTGTAATCTTATTCAGTGCATCTTAGTCAAATTTGTGGTTAATGGAAACCACAAATATTCATAGCTTAAAACTGAGGTAAAAATAAAACCTAGTTAGAGCAGATGGAGCGATAACTTAAGCTTTAATAAATATCCGAACAGCAGCTGAAGCATGTAGAGAAACTGAATTTTGGAAGTACTGACAGCTTTCTTTACATACATATAAAGAATGCAAGGCCTTGACGAATCAATTATACATTCTTTTAGTCCCATCTAAATGATTTCAGATCCACATTTTTATTTCAATTAAATTAGATTCTTTGTGAGTCATCGCATAGACCTTCATGTACCCTTTATTTAGCTCCATCAATGTTCCTATTAACTGACCAGGTTCCCTTTATCTGCTTAAAGTCATAGGGAATTCATATTTAAATGTCAAATCATTCTGGCTTAAACATGTATATAAATGTACTCTTCATATAATTTTATTATCCCAAAATTTAGCAAATAATCCTGTCTTAAAACCTGTGTTGTTTTGTTTTCGTTATCTTATGCAGGCCAGTTAGTTATACGTCAGCCTGTACATCTAAATTGGGCCAATCATATATCAACAGTCATCTGTCAATCAAATGTTTTCGATCATAGCATCTTGATTCATATGTCGCAGCTAA